GGGCAGGCATGACGTCTGGACACCCTGGCTCTGGCCAAGTGTTGGAGCGACCTGTCCCCTTCCACTGCATCCTGTCCTCAGTCAGACAGGCACACCCATGCACATACACAGCCGGCTTCGTGTGTCCCAACAGGGACTTGGCCCTGGCCAAGGCAGGCCGCAGAGGGCAGTGGCCTTTCTGACCGTCCAGAGTGCCCTGCGAAGCTGGGCAGGGGTGGGACAGGCCCTGCTCCTGAGCTCGGCCCCAGGCCACAGCTGCTGGCCCACCTTGCTGCTGGAGGACGAGCTGGGAGAGGCAAAGCAGAGCTGCTGAGACTGTGCCCCCAGCCCGCCAACCAGTCTCCTCAGCTCCAGGCAGGTGGGGGAGGCAGAAACACCCCTGCCTATGTCTGAGGAGACCCGTGCTCAGAAAGGGGGTGGGGGCTGGAGAGAGAGCCTGCCGTCCTGAGGAAGTCTGTGCCGGACTCAGACAGGAAGCCCATAAAGTGGGCAGAAGCAGAGCAGACACTGCCACGAAGCCAGCAGGGCCCTGACCACTCCCAGAGTGCTGTCCCAGGCAGAGCAAGCCCAGGGGTCCTGGCCCTAGGTCCAGTCCAGCCGTCAGCCCTCAGCCCCAGGCACAGCGAGAGCCAGACTCCCGGGGCAGGCACAGCCTCATGACCAGGGTTAGGCTGGGCTCTTTCCCAGTGGACCTGGCAGGCCTCTGTCCTGGGGGGCTAGGAGGGACGAGCAGGGTAGGGTTGCCTCCCAAACCTGACCTGGCCCTACCCAGGGGAGACAGAAAAGCCAGGAACACTCAGGGGTCCCCTGATTTCTGCTTGCGTCCCTGGCCACCACAAACCCCGGCTGCACCCGAGGTACCCAGGGACCCCAAAGGGCCAGGGGGAGGCAGGTGGAGGAAGAGCAGAGGTCCTGACGTGTGGGGAGGGGCATGTGTCACAGGGTCTGGGGACTCCCACGGAGGCCCCGCCCAGGACGAAGGTCCACCTGTCTGTCCTCAGACTGCCCCGTGCCTGGCTGGGTTGGCAACCACCCTTCCCTGCTGGCAGGGCCCAGGGACTCACTTCCCTCACTTGCCCATCTGGAAAACGGGGCCTCAGGCTCACGGGGCCGCGTGGGTTGAGAGCAGCCAGGTTGGCCGCCACAGAGACGCCCAAGGGCGTGAGGAGGCTGGGATCAAAGGCACGAGGGCTGGGGGGTGGAGGGGGTGTCCTGGCAACCACCGCTCCCCTCCCAATTCTGGGCCCATGGGGTCAGCTCCTAAACCCTCAGGAGATCCTCAGCCAAAGACAGGAGAGGGCTGAGGCAGGCCGGGGGTTTCAGGTCTTAGAGAGGACCTGGGACAGGTCGGGGCCATAGGGACTCAGGATAGGAGCATTCCCATACTAGAAGCCATGGGGGGGGGGGTGGCTACACAGCAGGGGTGAGGGTGAGGACCGCCAGGATGCACAGGGTCCAGGCTAGCCTTGGCCTCCAACCCAGGAGTGGTGGGGGCCGGTCTCCACCAGGGGTCTGTTGGGCAGCCAAAGAGCAGGCTGCCTGGAGCGCTTCCCCACCTCCTCCTAGACTGGCGATTACACCCAAAGGCAGCAGGGTGCTGGGCCAGGACGCGCCTGGGGCTTCAAAGGTTCAGGGCAGCCCGGAGAAGCAGCCTCTCCCCCCTCCCCTCCCCCTCCCAGGCCAGCGGAGGACCGAGGTGGCCCCAAACCTGTCTGCAGCAGATCCTACCCAAAGCCCCACCCCACCAAGGCAGGAAGGGGGCCTGGAGAGCCCCGCAGGTAGAGCCGACAGGTGGGAGGGCTGTGCCCCACTGAGTGGAAGCCCCCGAAGCAAGCAGCGCCCGCAAGTGAGCGCACGCCCACGTGCGCCGGTCCTTGCGTACCTTGGGGGAGCCAGGCAGCCCCTCGCTGTTGGCCACGGTGACGTTGGGGGGCTCGGCGCGCTGCCTGGGCCGCTTGGGCTCGCGCCGGGCCCCGACGCCCCCGAGGAGCGCGAGCTGCGGCCAGAGGAGGGCCAGGGCCGCGGCCCAGGCCCAGCGCATGGTGGCGGCCGGCGGCTGCGGACCTCGGCGGAGGCTCAGCGCTGCGCGCAGGGGCGCCCAGGCGCGCTCATGGGGGCGGCGCGGAGGCGCGGCCCTGGGGGCCGCCGGGCCGCCGCCGCTGCATGTCTGTGCGGGATGAGCCAGGCGCGGCGGCACGACGGGCACCCGACGGGCGCGCCAGAGAGGCAGCGGGACGCGCTCCTGCCCCGGGTCGGGCTGGTGACGGCTCCGCTCACAGGCACAGCGCCCTCGCCGCCCCGCGCCGCCGCCAAATAAACCCTCCCCTCCGCCCCAAAGCTCGCGGGCTCCAAGGGGGAGGGCTCACATGGATGATCCGTCAGCGGGCTCCCGGGCCCTGGGGCGTGGACAGGGTCGGGCACCCCCACTGACCGCGGGCCTGCGGCTGCGGAGGGGGGCGGAGGGAGGGAGGACGCGCTCACAGCCCCATCGGCCCCTTCCTAGGACCCACCTCAGTCGGGCTCTTCTGGATCTGCCAGGTCCCCTGCCCCAGGGTCCTGGTGGTGCCCGAAGGCCTGGCTCAGGCCCTGCGCCTGGGAAAGGCAGGGCCAGGGAAGCAGGGCAGCTGACCCACTGGGCTCCCAGCCTCGTGCTGGCCTTGACGACCTTGGGTGCTGCTTCTCTCTCCACTGGGCTGAGTGTGCCAGCGACGGCGGGGGGCATGGCAGGTGGCCCCTCTTCTTGAGGCACAGGGCCAACCCTTACTACCTGGGGGGGTGCCCTCACCCAGCCAGGCCACTTGGCTTCCTGAGCCAGCAGGGGGGAGAGGCTAGTTCCCAGGCCAGTCCCGTAAGAGGTCAGCACATGTGAGCCACCCCCCAGCTGTGCCCACCAGAAGAGCCCATTCCCTCCACAGCCATCCGGCCCGGGAGAGTGAATGGTTCCCTCCAGCTAGACCTGAGCCACACTGCGGGTTCCCCAGGTTGAGCTGGGACCTTCCCCAGGCTGCAGGCAGGACAGCTGCCCATCGGGTGGTGTAGACCAAGGCTGACGATGGTCAGAGCCATGGCTGGCCCCACAGGAGCCGCTGATCACAGTGCGGCCGCGAGAAAGGTGGAGGGCACCGGCCCCAGTGGACAGCGGAGCAGAGCCTTCCAGACCCTCTAACTCCCAGACATCTGCCAGGAACAGCCAGCAGCCGAGCAGAAGACCCAGCCCACCCTACACCCGTGGTCGTCTGTAGGCAGAGCTACTGAGAAGCTGGCAGGAAGATGTGAGGGGTGTCTGCCCAGGGACACCCGCCCGCCCTCCCGGTCAAGCAGAGGCGGTCACATCCAGGACAGCAGCGTGGGTTCTAGTGAACCCCAAGCTTGCTGTTGAAGCCTCAGCTCCCTGTGTCTGGCTGGTGAGCCCGTGCCCCACACCTGGGTCTGGAGTAGGGCCACATGGCAGAAGACCCCCCGTCCTCACCCCACCCAGCTGGACCCCTGGATGGGACTTGCACTCAGCACCAGGCCAGGAAGCCCCGACAAGCTGCCAGACCCCTCCCCAGAGGCGGGGCACCTGCTTTTCATTACCTGTGTCCTGGTGGGCCCATCCTTCGAGCCCTCCGGCAGACGGCTCTGCCACTGGACAGGGAGCCATGTGGAGGCAAAGCTGAGCCTCAGGCAGTTCCCACCCCACCCACCCCGGGGCTCAGGGCTGTCCCAGGCGCCTTCACAACCAGGAAGCAGGAAGCCATCCGTGTGTCCGTGTGTCCGCCTGCCCGTGCTCTGGGGTTGGGGTGTGGGTTCCAAGGGTTCAGTACCAGGTGTTGTGGAACTGCCTCCGGGTCCGTGCCCCTCCCCCACGCGCCGAGGGTCTTCCAGAGGCACAGCAGTGGAGCCACCTGGAGAGGCCGAGGGCCCCAGGCTGGGTTGTCAGGCCCTCCTGCCACAGCGGCCAGCTGCCCGGGAGCCAAGGCTCAGGCCCGTGCTGGTGTCCTCACCCACCCAGCTCACAGCCGACACTGGGCACCCAGCCCTCTGGGGGAGGACAGGGCACAGAGCCCTGGGCAACCCCCCAGCAGGCCATCCACCTCGGCCCTTCGAGCAGCGGTCACTCCGGCCTCTCAGACCAGGACCTCTTGGTGTGAAAGCCTCAGCCTCGGGGAGACGCAGGCTCTCCAAGCCCACTCTGCACAGAAGACGGTCCACACACGTCCGCGGGGTGTCGATGCCGTCAGGCTGCTCCCTTGACGGAGACACACCTCACCACACAGCCGGCACCATGGAGGGTCGGCTATGCCAACCGGCAGGCACACACCCGGGCCGGGAGTGGCCTGGACACCAGCACGAGGGCTGACACCGGAGGGCTCTGCATGGCGCTGACCTGTCTCCCTGCTGAGACCTCACCCGCAGAAGGGAAGTACCTCCACCTGCCAGACAGCCGCCTCCGGTGGGCCTCAGGAAACAGCGTGTGAACACTGGTCCCAGACCTGCCCTCAGCCGGCTGTGGACGGAGCATGAGGCCTGGCAGCGTGGCCTTGCCACCAGGGTCCCTGTGCCTCCGCGGCCAAGGCCACGGCCGCAGCCGGCCCACCGGCCACCAGGCACACTTCCACCAGCGCAGACGCAAACAGCAGGAAACTCAGGAACAGAGATATAATGAAAGGTTTTTTTCACGAGTGTGTTAAACACATACAAGTGGTAAAATTTAGAGCAATTTAAAATAAACTGATCAAAAAACAAAGTCAAAGATGCAAAAGCACATGGCTGCACGTCAGGTTCCCTGATGGCTGAGCAGTCGCAGGTGGTGGTGTGGCTCCCCGTGAACCAGCTCACACAGGTGGGGGACAGGAGGTGTCGTCGCGGCTCCCCGTGAACCAGCTCGCACAGGTGGAGGGCGGGAGGTGTCGTCTAGGCTCCCCGTGAACCAGCACGCACAGGTGGGGGACAGGAGGTGTCGTCGCGGCTCCCCGTGAACCAGCTCGCACAGGTGGAGGGCGGGAGGTGTCGTCTAGGCTCCCCGTGAACCAGCACGCACAGGTGGAGGGCAGGAGGTGTCGTCTCGGCTCCCCGTGAACCAGCACGCACAGGTGGAGGGTGGGAGGTGTCGTCGCGGCTCCCCGTGAACCAGCACGCACAGGTGGGGGACGGGAGGTGTCCGGGGCTGTCAGCCCAAACCGAGGCGATGCCCACAGGCAGCCTTTCCCTTGCGAGGCCCAGGCCCTGTGTGACCTTCCAGGCAGGGCCAGTACCTGATGGGCAACCCCTGTGCGAAGGGGACAGAGAACCTACCTTTTGGGTCAACCCAAGATTTTGCCCAAGTGTGAGGGAAGCCCCAAAGTGCACAGAGCCCGTCTGTCAGGTGGGGACCCCTTTCCGGCTGGTGGGGCCTCCAGAGCACAGGACGGGGCTTCTGGGCCACCTGGACCCAAGGAATTCAGAGCAAAGGCTCTGGGGGCACCAGGAGCCTGGAGGAGGCTGAGGCCCCAGGACCAGCGGCTCCGCCCCTCTGCCTTATCTGTAAGTAAAAGGCGACACCTTGTGGTCAGTGAGCAGACTCCTAACTTGAACTGCAGCCAGAGGCTTTTCTGGAAGGAAACTGCTTCACTCTAAGTGAACCAAACCCCGGTCCTGGACCCACAGGGCAGTCCCTGCCCAGCCAGCCCCGGCCCCATCACTAGGCCCACATGGCTGAGGACAGCCGTGGGGCCGGCCCCTAGCCGGGGGGTCAGAGCTCCACTGGACTAAGAATGCACACAGAGTATTTCATAGGCATCGAGTTTTATAGTTTTCAGTGACCAAATCTATAAAATGAAAAACAGGTTTACTAAAACAAGTCCAAAAGACAACACAGGAGATAAGGTCTAACCAAAGCGTGAGGCCCTCCTCCTCGAACCCTGGGCTCCACAGCCCCCGAGACCTAGGGCGAGGACAGGGGTCTGGGAACTCACGTCTGTATGCTCCAAATCCAAACCACACACTTTGGTTTTTGTTTTCTTCTTAACGGTTTTTAAAAAGCTAACCCAGGGTCAGGCGGTCCGCCCTGTGCTCGATGGCGCATCCAGCCAGCGTCAAGCCTGGGCCCGGCGTCCCTCGTTCCGACCACCTGCGCGGTGGGTGGTGGTGCAGCTCACTCCTGTGCTATGCTCCTCAGCACATACTTGACCGTGTAAGCGAAGGCTGCAAACCCAACTATGACAAACAAGTTCGCCAGGGCGCCGCCCAGGAGTCCATGGTGCCGGTTGGCCTGCTGCAGCCCCGCCAGGTGTGGCCCTGCCCCCGGCGCGTGCCCGTTGAGGAGCTGAAGCCCGTTCTGGCCGTGGTGCGTGTCCCCATCTGGAACCACGTCGGGGAGGGGGAGCGCCTGGGGCCTGCTGCTGAGCTCTTCTTGTGCTCTTTGCTTCTGTTTAATTTCCTGAGAGAAACAGCAAGAGACCAAGGTGGGTCTCAGCCAAGCAGCTCCTTTAGGACCAAGGGGGTCCTACGATCCCCCAGGAACACGCTGAGACATGGGTGGTCACTGGCAGGTTAAGTCCTGGCACCCACCCAGCTTTACAGATGTAGGGGCCAAGTGACTTGCCAAACCAACAACTGCACCTCATGGGCCTGGGACCTAGCCACGTTCGAGTGACACCATCGCTGTGGCCTCGAACTGTGTGCAGCCCAGCCTGCCCCGCTCACAGCCCCAGGACCAGGAGCATCCCCCAGCGGGCCCACCTGGAACCTCGGCGGCCCACGCTGGCACGAAGCTGGCCAGCTCCACACCTTGTTGGGGACAGGCCCAGCCCCCAGCTCAACCCCCACCCCAGGCGCCCCTTTAGGCTCTTGTCCCAGCACCGGGCATGGACACGAGGAGCAGCTTCTCTCGGGAGGACCCATGAGCCCAGGGAAGCAGAGCTGCTGCCAGCTGCCACTCTCACCTCCACAACTTCAGGAAACAATTCACAGAAGACTTTGTCTTTTAAATTAAATGCTAAACTCTGTGCGGCCAGTTGTCTTTTCTAGAAAGAAAGAGAAGGGAAGCGTCAGCTCAAAGACTGACTTCAACTCCTTAAGCCTCTGGCAGCAGTGAGGGCCCAGTCGAGCTGCTCTTCACCAGCCCACTCGGTCACCAAGGCCTGTGCCCGTCTCCCTCCTCACCCACTCATGACCACGAACCCGACTCCCACTAGAGACAGATACAGACACCAGCCGAGCAGATGGAGCAGGCGCGGTGACCGGGGCTGCCCAGGAAGCCTGGCCAAGAACCAGGGACCCCAGGGCTGGGGTCTCTCCAAGGTGCTCGGGGCGCAGGGACACAGGCAGGGGCCCCCAACACACCCACCACCCCTCACCGTGAAGTCCGATGTCTCTATGCTGCCCAGGGTGGGGCCCTTCTCCACCATGAAGCTCAGCAGCCCAGTCAGGATGGTGGAGACGGACCAGGCCGGGTTCCAGGTGTCTGGGTGGAAGTCAGTGATGGAGAGACACAGCCTGCAAAAAAGGGGCCCACTCAACAGAGCACGCGCTGGCCACGGCACAGCCAGGCTTCGGGAGCGGCAGGAACGCCTTACCTCGTGTTGCACTTGAATCTTCCATTGGGGGTTATCATATAAATACTAGGAGGTTTAAAGGGAAATTCTCTGGGAAAAATCAGTTTTCCATGGTAACAGCCACCTGCATCAAAGCAGAAAAAGAGCCTTGTCACTGCCCACAGAGTGACTTCGAGCCCTGACCCTGCACCCACCCCCGGCCCGCCTCACAGGCCCCCCACTTTGAGTTCACCTTCGGACACCCCTCCCACATGCCCCTCGCCCAGAGCAGTCTCAGAAGAGCGTGGGCACGGGCTCCTCTCCAGCCCTCACCCACCCGCAGGCCTGTCGGCTGAGGTCAGCCCACCCCAGGTCCCCTCACTACCAGTTCCTCCTCCACCAAACTACACCCACCAACAGGCAAACCTGCCATTCCTCTCACCTTAAAAAACAACAGAAAATAAAACTCTTGCCCCTACAGTGTCCACTTCCGGCCACCTGCCCCCTCTTGTGCCCAGTCCCTGGGGAGCAGGTCCGAAGATGCCAGTTCACATTCCAGCACGGCCCCCACAGACCTGACCTCGAGGTCCCCAGACCCCCCCAATGGGGTGTGACCACATCTCAGGCCTCACAACCACTCCTGACCGGGCCTCCTCTCTCACCCAGGTGCAGGCCACCCAGCTCCCCGGTGCGCTCCTCAGACTCACACTCCTGGGGTCTCACCTGGACTCCCGTGACATGAGGAGACTCTGACAACTCTCCAGCTGCACCTCTGCCTGGACCTCCTGCCCTCCAAGCCCAGAGACATGCCCCACCTGGCCGTCCCAGCAGCACCGCCCAGAAAGGTCTAGGACGGATTCCAGCCACTTCCCTCAGCAACTCTGTCATCTCAGCTGCTCAGACAGAAGTCTGGGATCCCCCACCCACCACACCTGCTCTGCCAACAAACCTGTCAGCCACACCTGCCAGCTGACCCAGAGCCGCCACCTCTGCCCTCTGCCGCTCAGCTCAAGGTCCACCCGCCTTTCCCCACCCGAGGCCTCACACCCACCCCAGACCAGTGATGGTGCACCTTCAGTGAGGCTCAAGGAGGGCTGCCATGTCCTCACACCCAGTCCCAAACGGCCACGGGGCTCTGCTCCAAGGCCACTCTTGGGTTAGGCCTGCCCTCACCCTGCAGGGCTGCAGGGCCAGCTCACAGGCAGACAAGCGCCGCAAGAGACACACTCGGCACGGCCCCACAGCACACACAATCACGCTCACTCAGACGAGCCCGACATAAACAGGCGCCATCCCCGTTTGGCTCAGCACTACTCATGAAAGGACCAGAAGGAAGTGACCTGAACAGCAAGGACAGTGCCACTGTCAACACCATGGAGGGCGGGGAGAGGGCGGCCCGCCACGCTGGGAGGGGCCCTGCCAAGAAAACGGAATCTAAGCTCGCGCGTTGACCCAGCACTCCTCCCGTCACCCGCCTGGGAAACAAGCGCAGCCCGAGCGCCAAGAACCACCGCGGAGAGAGCCGGCCAGCACCCTCGTCCTCCGAGGCAGGGCTCTGGGCTGCTCGGGTGCCGTGAGGCAGCACAGGAGCAAGCGGCAGGCCGAGCATGCCCAGGGGAAGACAGCGCTGGAGCCACGCTGCACCCCCACCGCAGGGGAGCCTCTGGGAGGGCCTTGCTTGGGGGAGCCTCGAGAGACGTCCTCGAGAGCAGGAAGAGGCAAGGCAGAGGGGCCAGGAGGGCAGACCCGAGCCAGCGGCTTGCAGCCCTGCATTCCAGTGTCCGGGGGGACCAAACCACAACCGGAGGGAGACCCGTGCAGGCAGCATGGACCCCCCTCCCCCGCAATCCGATCAGTGGCCCGTGTGGCCATCGCAGCGGGAGCTTTCCTGAGCCCCCACCCACGCCTCTCCCTCCAGACACAAGTTATCAGGCAGAGGGACTCCTCCCATTTAATTTTTTTTTTTTAAATTATTGCCAAGGCCAGTTTGGCTCAGCAGTTAGCGTGTCGGCCCGCGGACCAATGAGTCATGGGTTCAATTCCAGTCAAGGGCACGTACCTGTTGCAGTTTGTCCCCAGCCCTGGTTGGGGTCGTGCAGGAGGCAACCAGGTGATGTCTCTCTCTCACATCAACGTTTCTCTCCCCTCTCCCCACCCTGCCTGAAAATAAACAGAAAAATATCCTCGGGTGAGAATTAAAAAAAACATATAGATGAACTATTCCAGGTCCTTTGCCTCCATGTAAACTTCAGACTAAAAACTTCAGAATCAGCTCGTGTGCCTGCGAGGAGCTGTCAGGGTCGACGGGACTGGGTGAAGCCTGCAGATCAGCCCAGGCGGGTTCTGTGGCAGCGCTAGGTAATGGGAAGCAGTTGTGAGCAAGACAGTGTGGGCCCGAGAGGGACGGGTGTGGACATGGGAGAGGAGCATGGAAGACCAGGAAGAACAGGTCAGAACGCCCAGGAGCCAAAAGAGGAGCAAGGGGGGAGGCAGAGTCACACCCCTCAGGGTCCACAAAGGCCCCGACAGCAGTCCCTTGGAGACGCCGCTGAGAACAGTCAGCAGAGGGCAGTCCTGAGCTGAGCTGAGTGGGGACTGGCAGCTCGTTCTATTCAAGTTTGTTAAAAATCATACACACATTTAATAAGCACCTTAGCATGACCTGTGCGCTGTTCTGAGGCCCGTCTTTGCCATATTTCTAGGAGCCCCTCCTGGACAAGGCTTCATCAAGCCAGCACCCAACTACTGGGCACTGGGCCGATCCCCAAAGGAACCTTCTTGTCACATGCCCACCCTACAGATGTGCTTCTACACACGCATGTCCTGGGTCCTGTCCTCCCAGGATGGGACCTTGGGCTACAGAAGGGCCCCATGAGGCTAGTGACACATCGGCCTGCGAGAGGCTGGGCATCCCCCTCCCAGCTGCCTGGGGCCCCGGCGTCAGTGGTGGCTCAGACTCCCTTCCCTGCACAACTCTTTTCCAGTGAAAGCTTATGCAACCCCACCCACACACGCGCACTCAGCTGCAGCCACCTCGAGGCAGGGCCAGCAGCTACAGAGCAGACAGCACTGCCCCCGGCCACGGCCCTGCCCCTGCCCCTGCCCTGGGCTTGCTGGGCCACGGCTCACGGCTCACAGCTCCCGTCTCAACCAAGGCTGGTGCACCAGAGACTTTGCCGACAGCGCCCAGGGCAGGCGGCGTCAGCAGACAGCGCAGCAGCGGCCAGGAGAGTAGAAGTGCCGGGCTGAGCCAGGGCAGCCTCACGGCCTCCCTGGACCTCAGGGCCTGCCCACGGGCCCAGGACTTGTCCAGAGAGAGCAGTCAATGCACCTGCCCTCCCCCGGCAGCACCCACCCTCAGAAACAGCAGGAGAGCCAGGTATGGTTTACTGTTCACCCCGCCCTGACCCTGCTGCCTTGGGAGACGCAGCACTGCCCTAGTCCTTACACACGGTCCCGGAGACACAGGGCAGAACAACTCTGAGCGGCACACCCAGGACTCGGAGGAGCGGCAGCATGAGTTCCGAATGAGTGCAACAAGGAGAGAGTGTTCTTTACAGATAAAGGGCACTTGACCGGCAAGAGCTACTCAGAACACAAAACCGCCTCCTGCCCCAACTCAGAGCAGTGACTTACCTTCATAAGGAGTCATCTCAGGGCCTCGGACCACATAGTGCCTGAGAGAGAGAGAGAGATTAGCTGGCTTTGGGGATGGCGAATTCCCCAACTCTGAGTCCCTACAAGGCCAGGGGCCTGCAGGCCACCAAAAGCAGGTGTTCACCAACATTCCGTGCGTGAACACTGGTCAAGGGCCAACCAGCAAGACCATTCGAGTCCCTTCGTAACAGAGGCTACATCTTCCACGTTTTCCACAAAGTACTTTGTCTCCACAACACAACACGAAAGTGAATCTTTTCTAACTATTACCATCTGCTGAAAACTCATAAAAATTTAATTTCACAACATTCTTGAGCAGCACTTGAAACTTTGTATTTTCCACTGTGCCCAAATACCATGCAGAAGACCAGGCAGGGAAGAGCTGGTGACAGGCTCTGCTGTCCCAGGGCTAACGTCCTGGAGAACAGACTCAGCCCCAGAGTGGCTGTGCCGAGCAGGAGCCGCGACTGCCGCCAGTCTGCACAGAGCCCAGGTGCGTGCCTCCACTCCCCACTCCGACGACAGAGGCTTTGGCTCTACGTCAAGGGGTGTGTGACTTACAGCTTTTCACACAACAGAAAAGTACGAAGGAGAAAGTGGAAGCAAGTGAAGCAGAAAGGCACGCGCTGCACCTCCAACACACCTCCTCCCACCAGGACACACACCGTGTTAATACCTGACCAGACACCTGCTGTCTGCTGGCTGATACGTTCTACTCCACACACACAAAAAATGCTGTGATCCCATGTCAGCCACCAGGAACAGCCCTCAAAGCTAAGCATGTGACAGCCAGGAGCGCGGCCTTAATTTGTCACTGCTCCAGTTCCCGTGCCAACCTGAGAACACGGGAGAGGACAGCGCACAGGGCTCTGAGAGCCCAGCAGTCAGGGCCGCAAAGGGAGGCCCAGGCAGCACAGTGCTCAGACAGACCTCATCCGGAAAAGCACTCCCTGCTCTCTGCAGAGGGGCCTGAAACTACAGCCCCCCACCCCCGGCCGCCTGAGGCTGGACAGGCTGACAGGAAGCCGGCTTTCTTCGGTGGGTGCAGGCAGAAGTGCCCCTGAGGCCTGCTCCCACGGGAAACCCTGGGTGCTGGGCCTCTAACGGCTCCCGGGTGGAGAGCACTCACAGGTGCTGTGCTGTCCCTGCGTCCAGGGGGACAGGAGGCTGTGTCTGGTCTCCTGTGAACTCTGCCCCTGGGCCTTTTCCCTTTGCTCATTTTGCTGTGTCTTTTCACTATAGTAACTGTAGCAGTGGGTCCTCCTAGCAAATGACTGAATCTAGAGACCCCAGCTCCCCGCAGGGAAGGGCCCTGTGACTACCGTGAAACCCGTCCCTCCACCTGCCATCTATGTCCTGGGGCCACACTGATTTCTGTGACTGGGGGCAGGGAGAGCTCTGCTGTGACACTGACACCCCACTCCCATGCTGAGGCCCACAGCACCCTGAGGACCCCCCTCTCCCTCACCAGAGCTGCCCTCTCTCTGTAAGCCAAGGAAGATGGACCCAGAATCCTGGAACACCTGTCTCATCTGGAAAATACTTATTTTAACTCAATCAAATAAATCTCTTTCCTCTGGATTAAAAAAAAATTTTTTTAAGTACATTTTAAGATCAAAATATCAAACACTCTTCAAACAAAGAGAAAACGCTCCTTGGTATTTTAGCCCTACACCTCATTTCTCACAAATCCCCAGCAAACCTGGAAAAGGCAGCATTTCCGCAGAGGCGAGCCTCCCAGCCCACACCGACACCGCAGAACAGCTACCATGGGGCAAATGCTCAGAAGGCACCGGTCCCCTCATGTCACCTGCTGGGCCAGGGCTAGGGCCAGTGCCAGGAGCTGCGGTGTCAGGGCCTCTGTCCCGTCACCAACTCTCCATGGCAGGGCAAGCTACTGCACAAAGCCCAGAAGCAGAAAACAGAGGAGGAGAGACTAGAAATGCAGCTTCTTCTCCAACAGCAGTGAGGCCCACACCAAAGCTGCCCCTTGGGGTGCCCTAGACCCAGTCCTCTCCCGGGAAGGACCCTCTCCAACCCCAGCGTGCAGGGGTCAAGGACAACCTGTTGCGTCTGGCTGCCGCCCATTATGAGTGTCTGCCGACATCCCCGACAGGTGCAGGCGCCCCTTTCCAAACTCCATGATGGGAGCACCGAGCCATCAGCCCAGACCGCAAGGACCCTGGTGACAGTCAGTGAGGGGTGACTGATAACACAGAGACTTACCACTCAAGAATATTGGAAGGGAGGGGCTCAGCACAGATGTAAGGCACCGGGTCTTTCTTAATTCGAAGGTAGTCCTGTTTCAGTCGCTGGGTGGCTGTGGTTGGAGCTCTCTTATTGCTGTTGTTGCTCATCTGTTGAAAGCAAACACTTGTGTTCACAGGAACAAGGACACAGCCCCACCACGTCAACGCCCAGCCCAGTAGCTCATCACTCGTGCACACCTCACCAAGCACCCATACCCGAGGCCGACGGGCCGTCCCGACTCACCCACCCCGACACCACAGGCCTTGCAGACCCTCCTTTTCCATCTGCCTGCCATAAGCTTCACTACACAACATCAGATGCAGAGAGTCGTCTAAAACCTGACCTAACTTCAAACAGCCATGGGTGGAAGTGTCTGAAGCCTGGAACAGACCCCAGGTGACTGCACACATCAGCTCCAGTTCTGCTCTATGACACCACAGCATTCAGGACAAACCCACGGAGCCCCCTGCAAAAGCCCCTGTAACATTCCCGCACATTCACCACTGTCACAGTGCATGGAAGGAACAGGGAGCAAAGAGCCTCCCCCTGACACTGTGGAGACACAGGACCCCTGAAAGAGATTCAGACGCACGTGCTGGGAAGGCGGAAGGCCTAAGAAAGCACGTGCACAGGAATAGCCCTGGGTCACTGCGCCAGGAGCCAAAGCACCGTGAATGGCAGCCAACAAGGCTGCTGGGAGGCAAGGCCAGGCCACCAAGCAGTGCTCCGGAAGGGTCTCGGCCCGAGTCTGAAGGTGTGTCGGATCCTCTGTTAGGTCACTCTGGTGGCTCAGTGCAGGCAGGATGGACAGACAGCATGGGACAGACAGGACTGTGTGGCAGAGATAAGAGGGTGCAGGGCAGCACCAAAGGCTGGGGACCAGGAATGAAGCAGTCATTTGAGAAGAGACATGGCCTGAGTCAGGGAACCCTAGGACACCTCCGCTATACTCCCGAGATGAAGGGGGTGGCGGTGACGGGGAGACAGAGCACCCCACTCTCACAGACACCAAAACAGCTCCAACCCAACTGCTTTATATAGTGGAGTTTCTCATAACGTAAGATAGAAAGGCAAAAAAGTCATGCTGCTAAAAATGAGGTGTGAAGGACACTGGTCCAGAACATGATAGAAACCAGCGGACCCGTGTGCTGCGTAGGGATGGGAAAGAGGAGGGCGCATCCAGGCCACAGTGGCAGATTGGATGTGGGCAGCGGAGGAGTAGCCATACCCACCCACTCCTCCCCACACCACCGACACACTGCCACTCAGCGTTCCCAACTCTCCTTGCTACAGCACTGGACATCAGCAGCCAGGCTCTCTCCACCCTGACCTTGTCTGGACAAACCTGAAGCCATCACCCCCCACCATGCTGCCCCTTCTCAGCCTTGGGCCTCTGCACATTCGGTTCCCTAGGGAGAGCCACACGCTTGCTTCTTCCCTCCCTTCAGCCTCTGCTTCCACATCACCTCATCGAGGTCTGTAGATGCTGCCCTGCGCCTGGTCGAACCCTCCCCAGAGGACGATCCCCACCAACCACAACCAGCTTGGGGTGCTCACTCTGCACCCCCAGGGCCTGCAGACTGGGGCTCAAGCCAGGATACCCACAGGGGTCCTCTTGTGTACACCATCACCCACCCCTGCTGCTGGCTCTGAGGTCATCCCTCACCCTCAGAATCCTGCTCCCCCTCCCCTTCCCACCACTCACCCTAATACAGGGTCTCGTTCTTTTCCCATCGCAACCACAGGAGCCTTCCAAAGGGCCTCCTGGCTTTTAGTCTCCACCCATTTCAGTCCATCTGGGACACTTAAGTCAGATTAACTTTGTCACCGCAGTTCTGATTACAGCCCTTCAAGATCCCCCCACAGCCAAACAGATAAATGCAACACCTCCCCTGCCTGCCAGCCCCTGTACAAAGCAGCACCAGCCAGCCCTCCCAGTTCCCAAGTCCCAAGGCCACTGAATCCCCTGAGGTCCAAACCCCCTTCTCATGATAAGCACATGGCTGCTTCTCAGCCCAGTCTACTGGCAGAAAACTCACCTAAGCCCTTCCCGGTCTAGCTGGAAAGCCAAGTCCCTCAAAAGCCTCCCTGATTTCCTAATCAAACGACTCCACACTCTGTCCTTCACTGGCCTCCTGGTGGCCCAGCTCCATATAACACAGGTGCCCCTCAGGTCCCAGCAAAGACAACTGTGTGCCCAGCGCAGCCACAGACCAGCCCAGGAAGGCAGAGGTGCCCCACACAGCACTGCTCCCAAGCTCCTGGCCAGAGACGCCAAGTGGGCCAGGTGGCTCACCTTGGGCCAACACCCAGCAGAAAACAGCAACAATCCAAAAGCAGAACCACCACAGAACTTGCTGCTTCTTTTCAACGTTCACCCCAAAGTTGACACTCTGCCACACACAAAACAATCCACTGGATAACTCAAGCACGACAGTGTGTGAACTCAGTTAAGGGGCCGGGTTGGACGCTTAATGCAAGTTCACGGACAGCCACACAATGAACTGATCGTGCTTAGCCAACCACTAACTCCTCTCATTCTTGCTTCCAGAACCATCATCTTCAAACCACACTTATGATTCAACTACTCAGTTCACATAAGGGAGAGGGCTCCCTCGTTTGCTTCACTCAGAACAGTGCTCTTAGGACCCTCCAGGTGATTACAGGTGAAGCGGTTCTCCCAACGTCCCCCTCATAGTGTGTAGCACCTGCACAGACCATGACATCTCAGGTTCCCTTCTCACCAAGTCCCCACAGGTAGAGCACACAAGGTGTATTACAGTGAAGGAAAGACTTGGTATGGATTTTTTAAAAATACACGCAAAAGCTAAGGGAAAGCAACCAACTCACAGGACACGATTTCCTTGAGCCTCACACTGAGACAGACTGCCCGTCCAGCATCTATTCACCCTGTTCCTTTTCTCTCGGGACACCTCTCCCGTGTGCTTTGCATACGTGTAGCTCAGGTGACACTGTGGCACAGACCTTGGCCTGACCGACCAGATGGGCACGTGACGTAGGCATGCTCAAGCCTTGGAGAGAAGCCTCTCCTGTCTCCACCAGGGTTGCTTCACAGGCTGGACTAGGGCCCAGGCTGATGGAGGCAGCTCCACCGCCACTTGTGCACCTGCCTGAGAACAGAGCTGCCAACAGAGGTCGGTGCCGCCAAGAAGTGCAGGTTACTAACTGCAGGTTCTGGGCACCCAGACCCAGCCGGGTCTGAAACCTGCATACCGGGCTTTTCAGTTAGGCGACACCCTCGAGTTCCTTTCTCAGGAGCTGGGAGCTGAGCGCTTCATCGCCGGGTGCCCTCCCGCCCACCTGTCAGCTCTGCTCCCACTGAGCTACGGCCTTGCCCTTCCCAGGCTGTTTTGTGCCGGGGCCCAGCAATGGGTGGTTGGGAACTGGATCTGAACTAAGACCAGCTCGGTGGCGTTAACTGCAGGAGACACTGGAAGTTTACACCTGGCCGGAGCCCGACACCACACAGGTCACCAGCAGATGAGAACAGAGAAGCCGACACAGACGAGGAACGTGCCGGGACCCCAGTCCCACTCCAGCTGCCGGCCATGGAGTCAGTCATCCGACTCGGCTCCCCACTCTCCCCGTCCGAAGAGGACGTTCCCTCAGTCCCCACCCCAAGGGGCAGCTCTGGGCACACTCGTTCCCTGGGGCTCCGGGAGCAGTTTGGGGTTCTAACTGTCCGGGGTGCAGCGGCGGCAGGCTGAACGGCACCACCGTGCCCACCCCAACGGCTTCCGGGGTCCATGTACGAACCAACATCTACGCCCGCTCGTCCTGGAGATGCCCGCAAGGGTGCCACTAACAGGCGCCTTTCCGCAGGACACCCACCGTGCGGCCGGCAACCGAATGCCCACGCTGGACGCAGGACCACCCCGGCCGGGAGCCCCGGGCGCCCCGCCTAACCGCCCTCGGGATCCGCGCACGGAAGCCCCGGGCCGGAGCCCCGCGAGCGGCGGGTCGGAGGGGACGGGCCGCCCAGTGGCCCCGAGCCCCCGAGCCCCCAGCCCCCTGCCTCGGCTCGGGCCGGCTCCGGCGGGTCGGACGCGCGGCGGAGGCCCCGGCGCAGGCCCGCAGCGCGCACTCACCTCTCCCCGTCGCCGCGCGTGGGCCGCCGCCGCGCTCGGGCTCGCCGTGGTCGAGGCCGGAGCAGGGAGCGGAGAGTGGGGCCCGCGCCGGAGAGCCGCACCGCCCCGGGACCGAGCCCACCGCACCGCCGCAGCGCCGCCGCCGCCGCTTCAGTTCCAAGATGGCCGCTCGCGGGGCGGGGCCACCCTCGCTTCCGATTCCGGTGCGCGGCCTGCTGGGGCGGCCGCTCTAGGCGGCCGGGAGGACGTAGCCCGCGTCTCGCTGTTGCCCCCGCCCCGCGAGGTGGGGACCCTGCGCATGCTCACTGGCGGCAGCTCCGCGGGGCGGGGCCGAGGCGAGCACAGTCGGCGCGTGCGCGCTGGCGGACAGCTGGGAGGCTTGCACCACGAACCCCTGGGCAGGTGCGATCAGGTGGCCGTTGCCGTCCCTGGCGTCCCTCGGCCACATCCCCGTCCTGCGGGAGCGCCGGGGCAGTCACCGGCCGAGGGGGTCCCGGATCCCCTACTCCTACACTCGTCTCCGCGTGACTGCGGCTCAGAGGAGGGCGCGCCCGGGGAGAGGGCGACCCCGGCAGGAGCTCCGCCCGAGTCCCTGGGACCGACTTCCCACCCGCCCTGCCCGGCCGAGGTCCCGTTCCTCTGCCCACAGAGCAGGAGGGCCAGGCCTTGAGGTCCTGGCCCGTCCGGGACCGAAACCGGCGCAGGCCCCTGAGAGTCAGTCCGGGATCCCCGTGTCCGACCTCTGCCCGAGCCTGTGCCAGGCGGGGTCCAGTGTGGGCAAACCGGCCCAGCCCCAGCCCGTGGGGAGAGCGTTCTCGTAAAAATAGTTGCACTGTTTTCCGCCCGAATGTCCCACCCAGCCCGTGAATAGGGCCATTACGCACCAGTGGACACCACGGGGAGGCTCGCTTTCCGCTCCCACGGCCCCTCCCTGGCCCGGGGAGGGGGCAGAGCTTGGCCACCGCGCCACTGAGTGGGGCTGAAGCTGGCAAGTGGGGGCTGGGGCCAGGGGGAGGGTTCTGTTCCCAGACAGCATCTGGAACTGACTGCAGGGGCCTGGAGACGGTGCCCTGGGGATGCTTAGAGGGGCATGAGGATGGCAGGCAGGTGGGGGTGGGAAGGTCGGTGTCTGGACGAGGAGAGGGCTGGGTGGCTAGGTAGGCCAGCACACTGCCCACCACGGCCCCTCAAGAGGCAGCCCAGGATAGGGCCTTGTTGGGGACTACAGGTGGTGCCAGGGGAGACGCTGCATACCTACTGGGGCCTCAGTTTGTCTCTGCATAAAATGAGAGTGCCAGCCCTGGTCAGTGTTTCTCAGTGGTTAGAGTGCCAGCCCAAGGGTCACAAGTTCAATTCCTGGTCAGTCCCCGCCCTGGTTGGGATGCCTGCGGAAGGCAGCCAATCGATGTGTCTCTCACATTGATGTTTCTCCTCTCTCCCTCTCTCTCTCTCTCTCCACCCCTCCCTTCCACTTTCTCTAAAAAATCAATGGAAAAAATATCCTTGGCTGAGGATTAACAAAAATAAATGGGGGTGCCAACTGATGTGGGAGCATCTTAATGGGAAGGCTGCTGAGGGAAGCTCCACTTAGTAATTTTTTTTTTTTTTTTTTTTTTTTATCCTCACCCGAGGATATTTTTCCATTTTTTGTACAGATAGAGTGGGAGGGAGCGAGAGAGAGAAACATCGACGTGAAGGGACACATCGAGTGGCTGCCACCCGCACAACCAACCAGGGCCGGGGACAAACCACAACCGAAGTACATGCCCTTAGCGGGAACCAAACCCGGGTCTCTCCGGACCGCAGGCCGACGCTCTAACCGCTGAGCCAAACTGGCCAGGGCGGAAGCTCCACTTAGAACCCCCAACATCAGCCACCATCCTGCTGCTCACCAGCACCCGAGTGGCATCCAGAGAGAGAAAGTGCCTGAGACAGGTGTGGCCAGCATGTCCTGCCACGACCCCACAGCCTCACCCCCCCCCCCCCAGCCACATAGGCCACCTCCTGATCTGCAAGACCCAGGCTGCCCAGCTCCCTGGCCACACAGCTGGTGACCTCAGCAGTTGAGATGGGAGTGGGCGGCTAGGATGGTGGCAGGTGGTGACAGACCTTCTCAACCCCGAAGCTGCCCACTGGAGCGGGAGAGGCTGGAGCAGGCCCTCCAGAGGGCTGCAGATAGCCCAGCTGCAGGAAGAGGACAGTAGCATCCACTCCTGACCACCTTGAATAAGAGGCCCCCCCTCTGTGTCATAGAGGTACCAAGACACCAAAAAGGGTTAGAATCAGGAAACCATGCCCTAACCGATGGCTGTTACCCCCTCCGCAGGGCAGGCCCTGAAGGCCTCAGTCACATCTGACCAGTAGAGACTATCTGGCCAGGGCACCCAAGAGCCAGCCTGGAGGTGACAGAGAGGCGGTGCATATACACACCCCCCTCCAGTGGGAGACACCTGGCCAGACCCTGATCCCCATGCCCACCAGGAAGCCTGCAGAGCCAATGGGCTCAGACCTCATGTTGCGTCAGAACACACAGCCCCACCCCCAGGCCAACTCTGAGCTGTCCCTGAGGACGAGGACACCCACAGGGGAGGGAGCTGAGCCTGGTGGATGGGGGGGATCTCGTGAAACGCCAGGCACCTGCAGCGTCCAGGGCACTCCGGCCTGGAGGGGTTTGCCTCGGTACCCCTCGGCCCAGCACCCTCTATTGGAGCCCTGGCAGTCTGCCTGGCGTTCCCCTAGGAGAAGGTGAGGAGGGTCTGTGTCTCCCACAGGGCATGGGTCATTGCAGGCATGCTCCTGCCCTAGCCAGGGCTCCCTCTCCCACAGGAGGGCCAGGCAGCTCATTTTGCAACCTCGTGACTCCAGTTCTAATTACCCAGGATGTCTGGGGCTTTCCTCTTCCACCGAGAGGTCTCCCCCAGGACAGTGTGACCCCCTGGTCACCTCGATAACATGGTTCACGCCCTACAGGAAAGTCACTCAGGACTTGGCTGACTCTGGGGTCCCTGACGCAGGCCTGGGCTTGGGGGTGTGCACACCAGTGACATCAGCTGGTCCCGGCCCAAGCCTGAGCCTGGAAAGGCACCTCGGCCCTGTTTTGCACTTGAGGAAATGGACTCAGAGAGGTTGAGTAATTCGGGAAAGATCACAGCCAGCGAGTGACAGAGTCGTGATTCGCACCCACACCCTGGTGAGTCCAGGGTTAGCTCTTCTCCCGGCACGACTTCCCAGACGTCACCACTAGCCGTCACCTCCTTCCAAAGTCACGAGGCTGCTGACCTCACCCCTCCTCAGAGCCAGGGCCACCAGCACAGCCTGGGGGGCCCTCCCTCAGGCCAGACCAGGTCCTCAGCGCTGATTTGGGGTGGGGTGTCAGGGACCCAGAGCCTGCCCTGGGGAGGGAGCAGAGGGCCTGAGCTGATCCTTCAACCCTGGGCCCAGGCTGAGGTTCTGGTCATCTGGGATAGTGAGGCCTCTGGGCCATCCTGGGGACATGCTGGGCTCCCCAGTGGGACCACAGATGGCGGGTCATCCTGGGGGCAGAGGCGTTGGGTCATCTCACCTTCATTGTACCATCTGGCCTCACACGATCACACCCAGGCCGAGGACGGCAGCCTCAGCGACAGTGCGGTTTGGGCCATGAATGTGGTGTGTGTTGTTAGTATGTGGTGTGTGGTCTCAGCATGTGTGTAGCCTTCGTGGGTGATGTCCTCTTAGTGCGCGTGGTGTCCAGTCTGGCGTGTAGGGTGTGGTCTCCGTGTCTGGGGTGCCACCTTAGTGTGTGGTGTGGTCAGTGGCGGCCTTAGTGTCCAATGGGGGAAGCTGAGCCAGGTGCCTTGGGACACCAAGTGCCATCTCCACACCCAGGCCCCAGGTGGTTCCCACAGTCAGTGCCGTCCCAGTGCCTGGGTGGCTGTTCCTGGGGGACACCTGGATTCTGGGAGCAGAGGTCCCCGCCCAGCATCCCTTGGCTACAAACACCTGTTCTCAGAACTGGCAGAGGGAGCTGGGCAGGCGGTGGTGAGCAGCCTGGCAGGAGGAAGCAGGCAGGGTGCTGAGGGGCCGGGACACACAGGGTTTGCAGGGAGCAAGAAGAGGGAGAGCTTCAGGGGCGTCTGCCTGTTCAGGAGGTGCAGATCCGGGATCCACGGGGGCCCCAGCCCAACACAGGCCTCTCATCTCCCTCCAGAAACCTGAACCTCCTCATTCCCTGCCGGGGTCAGGGTCCCATGCCTTGCTTCTTGGGCTCCAGGCAAGAAAGGCTCATCCAGGGGAGGGACCCCCATTCCTGTCCCCGAAGGCTTCCCCTTCCGTGTCCAGAGCAGGCGTGGCTGCCCCCGGCAGCTGGCCCCTCCCCAATACCTCACCCGCCTGGTGCTGGCCTGTTATAAATAGGAAGCTGCCCAGCCAGTGTTGGGTACAGGCGTCTTTCACCTGCCGGAGCTGCTACCATTGAGCCGGCTGCCCTGGGAGAATGGAAGCAACCGCACAGGTACCTGGTGTGGGGCAGGTGGGCAGCGGTGTCCTGGGGCCTCCCCAGCCTGAAAGGGAGCCCATGTGCGTGTAGGCGCACACACAGGACAAGAGCAGGAGGGGCACGGAGCCCTCCTTCGTCATGGAGCCCTTGCACACGTGTGTGCATGTACGACTGCATACACACCCCGCTCCTGCTGTATCTGGGGTGCCTTGGCTCTAAAATGCACACATTCACCCCAGTGAATCTGGAGTCCCATCTCAGGAAGCCCTGGAGGCTCTGAGCGGCCCTCAAGACCCCATCTCCAGAGCTCCCCCTCTGCCCTGGCAGCCCGAGCTGGGTGGAAGGGGGCTGGTCCGGGCCGCGTGTCTGGGGGAGGGAAGACAACATGGTTCGTGGAATCGGGAAGCACCTTCCAGAACTTCTTTTGCTCACTTGCAACACGCAGCTGAGGGTTCTTGCCTTCCCCGTGAGGGCTCATCGTGATCGTGGGGATGGGGACGTAGGTGTGGGCAGAGCTCTGTGCCACGTGGAACCCACCAGCAGGACCCCATGGTGGCACACTGTCCTGGCTGGAAGGCAAGCAAGGGGCCCACAAACCCAAACAGCAGGGTGGGGAGGCCCGCCCACCCTTCACCGTACCTGAGGTCCCAGGAAGCTGGCCGGCTGAGATGTGCATGTTCTCAGAACACCTGGGAGCAGCCTGCTTGGACCTACCTGGCTGTTGTGTGCTGGCTGAGACCCAGCAGATGCAGCCCCCTCCTCAGGTGTCCCCGGGCCCCATTAATGGGAGGGGCCAGAGCCCAGGAGGCTGTACCAGGTTACAAGGAGGCCTCATGATTCAGACCAAGATGGGGACAATGTGGAAAGTCCACAGGAAGCCTGTGCAATGATTCGGTGCGTGTCCGGGGCCAGCAGGTCTGACCTGGTCAGGGCCCCACATCCTGTGTGCTCAGGGACCTGGGGGTCTGGAGGCCCAGGGTCTTGGGACGCTGGAACCTCCAGGGCAGGACGGGGGGGCCAGGCAGGCCATGGCTCTACGTCCTAGGGCCTCAGGTCCCCACCACTGGCTGGCCCACTGGCCCCCTGCCCACTTTTCCTGAAGCCCGAGGTCCACAAATGGGACTTCTCCTGGACTCAGCTCGATGGACCTTGCCCCATCCTGGGCCCAGAACCCTGAACAGCTCTCAGTCCTGGCCCTTGGCCCAGACATGGCCAACCAGCCTGGCTCATAGGTCCCAGTCAAACTGTGACCACACTGGCTGCTGGGGCTGGCAGAGGCCACGGAGGCCCAGAGTCAAGCCTTCTTGGGTCCCCCCAATATCGAGGCTCTGGGCCCACAGAAATGACACAGTCTCTACCCTAAGCAGGTCACCTGGCCTACGCCTGCTCACAGGCCTCTGCCCGACCTGGGGGTCAGCAGCAGAGACCCACCCAGCCTCAAGTGTGCAAACAGGGCCAGGCAGGGCCCAGACGCCTGTGCCCTGCTGTCCCTGCCCCCACTGCCCAGGCTCGGCTCTGCCCTGATAAGACACACCTGAGGAGGCTGGGTGGTGCCCTGCCAGGCATGGTGGGGATGGCAGCAGGGTCAGTCCCTGGTGTGGGCAAGCTTCCAGTGGGGCCCCTTCCAAACTTCAGCTGCGGGACCGTCTGTCCTGGGAGTTCCCAGGACAGAGAATGAAGTCCAGCTGGCCAGGGTGGAGACACCTGGGTAGGGGTCAGGCTGGGTCAGGCCCTGCTGAGGCCGGCTTCTCGGATGCAGGCTGGAGCAGCGGCCCAAGCCCCTGGTGTGGAGCCCAGGACCTGGAAGTCCGAGCAGACCCAGCCGCCGCCACTGCCGCCGAGTGAGGAGGGACACGGGGAGAGGCTGGTGGAGCTGCACACCTCCTTCAGGGAGCTGTTCACCTTCTTCTGCGCCAACGCCACCATGCACGGGGCCATCCGCCTCGTCTGCTCCAGCCAGAACCGCCTCAAGACGGCATCCTGGGGGCTGCTGTTCCTGGGCGCCACGGGCGCGCTCTACTGGCAATTCGGGGTCCTCTTCGAGCAGTACTGGGGCTACCCCGTCATCATGACCGTGTCCGTGCACTCGGAGGGAAAGCTCTTTCCCTCGGTCACTCTCTGTGACATGAACCCACACCGGTGAGGGCACGGGTTTGAGCTGGGGGTGGGGGGCCCGGGAGGAGTGCCTGGGCTATGGATGACTCCACCTCACCCCGCCCTGTGCGCAGTCGGGACCTCTGAGACCCTGCCCCCTGGGGGTGGGTGTTAAAAGAGAAGGAAGAGGCGGGTGAAGCTGGTGTAATCAGGACCTGCCAGGCACCCAGGGGTCCAGGCGGCTGGGGAGCGTGAGGAGAGCTGGGAGGGGCTTCGTTTGCAGGAACCCCCAGGAGAGGGTTCAAGGCAGCATTTCAGGTGGGGAGCAGCCAGAGCACTGATGAGGGGCCGTGAGGTCCGCAGGGCCAGGCCAGGCTGGGGCCTGACTTCACTCTGCAGCCCAAGCTCCCAATTCAGAATTTCCTTCTGGGCATCCCGAGGGGGGAGGGGATGCCGTCCGCTGATTTGGGGTCAGCACCATCGGGCAGTGCCCTGTGACTGGTCTGGGAGGCCTGGGGGCTGACTCTGACCCAGCTTGCCCCTCCCTCTCAGGCCCAGACTAGCGAGCCAACAGCTGCAGGCCCTGGACGAGTTTGCCCGGGAGAACATCTACGCCCTCTATAAGTTCAACTTCAGCGGGAGTGGGGATGCCCCCTTGGCAGAGGACCGGGGCCCGGAGCCCACCTTCCGGCTGGACCGCAGCATCCGCCTGCAGAAGTTGAGCGGCCCAGGTGGGCAGAACAGTGTGGGTTTCAGACTGGTGAGTGTCCCCTGCAGGGCTGCGCTGGGTGTGGGCAGGGCCGGTGCGGGGTCTGTACTGAGCTGACACCCCACCCCAGTGTAACAGCACCGGCGGCGACTGCTTCTACCGTGCCTACTCGTCAGGCGTGACGGCTGTGCGTGCGTGGTATCGCTTCCACTACCTGGACCTCCTGGGTGCGCTGCCCACGGACCATGAGCACAGCCACCAAGACCACGGCGGCCACTTTGTCTTCTCCTGCCACTACAATGGCCAGGACTGCCAGGCCAGGTGAGTGGGGGCAGGGCGGTGGCCGCTCCTCTCGGCCGCACCCAGCGGGCATGGGTGCCACCCACGGGGTCCCGCCAGCCGCAAACAGCTCCTTGCGGAGATAAGGCAGGCTGTGGTCCCTGAGGCCACGCGCAGTGCGTGACGGGTCGAAGGCGTGTGCTGATCTGAGCGTGGACCTTGGTTCCAGGCATTTCCAGACGTTCCACCACCCCTCCTACGGCAGCTGCTACACCTTCAGTGGCATGTGGGCCGCGCAGCACCCAGGCATCACCCACGGTGAACGTCCGCCCGGGGCCAGGTGTGGGCAGGGTGCTCCCGCCCGCCTGGCCTGACCCCGCGCCCTCCGCAGGGATCAGCCTGGTTCTCAGGGCTGAGCAGCAGGACCACCTCCCGCTCCTGTCCACGGAGGCTGGCATCAAAGTCATCGTGCACAAGCGCGACCACACACCCTTCCTGGAACACCTCGGCTTCAGCATCCGGCCGGGCACTGAGACCACCATCGGCATCCGAGAGGTGCGCCGGCCCGTGGGGGCGGGCAGAGGAGGGCCCTAGCTTGCCCCCCACTTCCCTGCCCAGCCTGGGGTCTGAGGGCGAGGGCTGGGCGGGACTGAGGCAGCCCCTCCCCGCAGGACGAGGTGCACCGGCTCGGGAGCCCCTACGGCAACTGCACGGAGGGCGCGGAGGGCGCGGGCGTCCCCCTGCTGTACAACGCCACCTACACCATGCAGGTGCGCGGGGGCAGGGCGGCGGGAGGCGGGTGGTCAAGAGCCGGGGAAGGCCCAGGAGAGGGGGCGGGCCGGGCCGGCAGGTACAGGTAGGCAGGCCCTGGCGGCGGGTTGGCTGCCCGGCGCCCAGCTCCGGTCCTGCTGTCCCCGCAGGCCTGCCTGGTCTCCTGCTTCCAGCTGCTGATGGTGAACACCTGCTCCTGCGGCTACTACTTCTACCCCCTGCCGGCGGGGGCTGAGTACTGCAGCTCTGCGCGGCACCCAGCCTGGGGTGAGCCCCGCCCCGCCGCCCCGCCCACCCCGCCGCCCCGCCCACCCCGCCCGCCCCGCCCACCCCGCGCACCTGCGGCCCAGTCGCGCGCAGGCAGCCTGGCAACCGGCAGACCTTCCCGCTCACCTGGGTCTCTCCTAACGGGCTCACCTGTGACCCTCCCCCCAGGCCACTGCTTCTACCGCCTCTACAGACAACTGGAGAACCACCAGCTTCCCTGCGTCTCACGCTGCCCCAGGCCCTGCAGGTGAGTGGGGAGTCCTGGGGCCAGGGGTCACTGCCCTAGGCACCGCAGAAGAGGGATAACGGGGGTCTCTCTCTCCTAGAGAGTCTTCATACAAGCTCTCTGCCTGGACCTCCATGTGGCCTTCCTCCAAGTCAGAGGTGAGGCCCCTAAAGGGGTGGGTGGGGTGAGGGGCAGACAAGCAGACGGGCCTCATGTGTCCCAGAGCCCACCCTCCACCAGCCTCTGCCCCTGCGGTCCCCACCCTTACGCGGGCCTGCAGTGCCTCGACGGTTGGGAGGAGCAGTGACCACAGGGAACCTTCTGTGTGCAGGACTGGATCCTGGCTGTGCTGGGCCAGCATAGCCGCCGGCACCTGGGCCGGAGCCCTGGCCAGAGCCCTGGCCGGAGCCCTCGCTGGAGCCAGAGACCTAGGTGGGTGCAATGTCCTCCTCCAGGGGTCAAGTCCTGGCCCCTCCTCCTGCCACCCTCATCTTTCAGTGCCCCCAAGGAGGGGCCCCATGCAGGTCCAGGGCCCAGCCCTTCCCATCTCTGCCCCCCTCCCAGGAGCAACGTGGCCAAGGTGAACATCTTCTTCCAGGAGCTCAACTACCGCACAGTGGACGAGACGCCTGTGTACTCCGTGAGTGGGCCGGGGCCGAGGGCTGGGGAGGGGCCGCGGCCGGCGTGGCCCTGTGCACAGCTCACTGTCACGGCTGCCAACAGGTGCCGCAGCTGCTGTCAGCCATGGGCAGCCTCTGGAGCCTGTGGTTCGGCTCGTCCGTCCTCTCCGTCGTGGAGCTGCTGGAGCTGCTGTTCGATGCCGTGGCCCTCACCTTGCTGTTGGGCTGCCGCCGGCTCCACCGGGGGCAGGGGTCCCAGCGGCGGGCAGCCCACACCTAGCCAGAGGCCGGCCAGTTGCCCAGTGACCGCAGGCAGGATGTCAGACGCCCAGGGCCCAGCTGGCGGCGCTTCCTGAAGTTGTGGCAGGCGTCTCAGCTGCAGAGTCAGGCCAGGTGTGGGTCCCCCAAGACTCCTGACACCTGAACCAGCCTGAACTTAGCCCAATGCTGAGGGCTGGGGCAGCAGTGAGGTCTCCTGGTTGCCCAGGGTGGGCCAGAGCAGCAGCCCAGGGCCCAGGGAGCAGCCACACTGGAGCCCAAGGCTGGCAGGCAGGCTCCAGGGCGCCCAGCACAGCAGGGCCTTCCGTGTCCAGCCACCCACCCCATGGTGGCCTCACAGTTCTCCAGGAGCCCAGGGTAGGGAGGAGTGTCTCCACCACTCGGATTCCCATGTTACAGGCATGATCGAGTGCCTGTGCATGTGTGTGCATGGGTGCGAGTGTGCACATGGGCATGTGTACATGAATGTGTGTGTGAGGGTGCATGCGTGGGGGACGCCTCCACACGGCACTGTGTGGTGTCATGTGTTTGCCTGTGTCGACATGTCTGCCTACACCTGTGTGTAGGTGTGTGAAGCACGTCTGCCTACACCTGTGTGTAGGTGTGTGAAGCACGTCTGCCTACACCTGTGTGTAGGTGTGTGAAGCACGTCTGCCTACACCTGTGTGTAGGTGTGTGAAGGCATCAGGCAGGGCCTCTCAGCTGAGGGCAGGGGGAGGAAGGGTAGCCCCAAGCCAAGGAGGCACTTGGTGACACTGGGCTGCTTTGTAATAAAATCGGTCATTTCACCTGGTGGCTGAACGTGTGTGTACCTCCCCCGTCACCAATCCAGAGTGAGCGGAAAATCTCAGACTGCACCTCCGTGCTCCCTGGAGCCATGGACACTTTGGGGGCTGGGGGACAGGAGGACACTGAGCATGTGGCCACCATGCAGACCTAGGGCTTGCCCAGGAGACCAGACCAGACCCAGACCATTCTTGCCAGTCGGCATCCACCCTTACTCCTACCAGGAGCCACAGGCCAGGCAGAGAATAGCAGAGGCACAGGGAAGAGGGGCTGGGTGGTAGGAGTCAGTTTTCATCAAAGGCCCCCCAGGCCCCCCATCAGGCCCGTGGGTTCTGGCTTACTGCATCCTTTTGGGGGTCTGGTGCTACCCTACTCGGGGCCCCCTCAGCACAGGCAGGGGCCAGAGGCACCCCGCAGCGGAGACAGCGAAGCAGGCAGGGAGCCCATGGCAGGCAGCAGTTTATTACTGTGATCTGGAGTGGGCGCCCCCCGCCTGAGGCCAGGCAGGAGGCACTGACAGGCTGGGGGTGGGCAGAGCTCAAGCAGGGAGAGAGGAAGGAGTCACAGCCAGCAGGTGAGGGACGTGGGGGCCGGTCAGTGCCCACCTCGCCACCCATGGAGCCTCCTTGGGCAGCCTTTGCATAGTGACCAGCTGACTGGCCTTGGCCTGATCAAGGACGGGAGCTGGGAGAGGCCGGCCGCGGCCCCAGGGCTCCAGGAGTGGGGAATGCAGAAGGCATTGTGGGCCCTGGGAGTGAGCCGAGGGCCCCTGGCCCCATCCAAGGGCCCAGCCCGAGTGGGGAGCTGGCGAGCGGCGGTCAGAGCTGTGGGGCCTCCCCGTCGGCAGACGGAGCCAGAGTCAAGGTGGTCCTCCAGAGTCCACAGAGGAAAGAGGCGAGAACGTGAGACAGGGTGGCTGTAGAAAACCCACTCCGTCCACGACAGCATCCGATGCGGGGCGCAAAGTGCCAGAGTCCTTGATGCACCTGCTCTGGGCCAAGTGCTTCCCGAGGAGGCAAGGACCGGTCTAGGGCCACCCGGCAGGCACGGGGCCTGCGTGGCCAGCCACGTGGCCTCGGGACGCCTGCGTCCAGCCAGGGCTGAGACCCCACACCAGACCCCCCCAGCACCCTAGAAGCCCAGCCTGGAGGCTGGGGTCACTAAGTGAGGTACATGGGTTGGTTCCCTGGATGGGCTGCCCCTTCTGCCCTCACAAGGAGCTGGTGGCCAGCCACCAGCCTCAGGGCCTAGTGGAAGGGCTCTGGGGGGTGTAGGAGGGACCCAACTAGCGGGTCTGTGTCTGGGGCAATAAAAGTGGGGGCACAAGGTGGCACAGGCCCCTGGGACAGAGGGGCACAAGGTGACATGAGCCCTGGGGACAGGGAGCTCGAGGTGACATGGGCCCTGGGGACAGGGGGCACGAGGTGACACAGAGCCTTGAGAGTGGTTTGTGACATGAGCAGCCCGGGCCCCCCTGGAAGGAGTCACCTGAAGACCTAGGGTCAGCACCTCTGGGGAAACGTGGGGCTTCAGAAGACTCCGTGCTGGGGTCCCTCTCCCAGCCCCGGGGTTCTGGGCAGCTCCAGGAGGGTGGAGCGGGCTGGTGGGGCCCCAGAGTGCCCTGGGGCACCGGGACTCGGGAAATGGGCCGGGTGGCCCAGTGTTGCAGTTTCCGGGCCCACCGCCCTAGCTCTCCTCCAGGTGGAGGCTGATGAACTCCTGGATGCACCTGCGGTACTGGAGCTCGGTGGGGCTGCTGCCTGCTAGGGGGCCCAGCTGGCCTGGGGGTGCCTCCGCCTCCCGCATCTCCTCAGCCATGCGCGCCAGGCGTAGCCTGAGGGAAGCGCAGTGTGAGGGCGCCACGGGGCCCACGGCGCCCCCCCCCACCCCCCTGCGGCGCCCCCTACGGTGCCCAAACCCAGCCTGTGCTCACAGCGTGACGATGTCAGCGTTAGCCTCCTGGACCGCGATGCTCAGCGGGTCCTGCTGCTCGTGGTCCAGGGCGTGCTGGTCAGCGCCCCGCTTCAGGAACAGGCAGACCTGGCTGGGGGCAGAGATGAGTCGGGGTGTGCCCAGGTGACTCGGCCGAAGGTGAGCAGGAGGGCACTGCTGACTCACCCAGTGTGGCCCAGCAGCGTGGCATGGTGCAGGGGAGCCCGGCCCCGGCTGTCTCTTTGGTTCACGTCGGCTCCGTTTTGCAGGAGAAATTCACAGACGATCAAGGAGCCCTGGGGAGCCAGGGGAAGTCACAGTGAGCCGGGGGGATGGCCCCTAGTAGGGCCCAGGGCACCCTCAGCCAGACCCAGCCCGGTGTCCACTGCAGGGCAAGGCCCTGTGCACAAGTCCCCCAGGGAGCAGGATTGAAGACGCCACGTGTCAGCGTGCACCTGTGCCCGGCGCCCAGCCCTGCTCACCCCTAGCACGGCCTGCACCAATGGCGTCTTGCCCTCGTCCTCTGTGTCTGCCCAGTTGACCTCGGCCCCGTGGGCCAACGCCGCGGCCAGCGCGGGGAGGTCGCGGGTACGTGCTGCGCGATGCGCCAGTAGCCCGGGGTGCAGTTCGCGCACATCTGCCAAGCCCCAGGCTTCGGCCTCTCCATCCGCCTCGCCACTGGAGCCCTCCGACTCTGCGCCCTCTGTGAGGAAGGAGGGTGATCAGGAGTCAGGGGCGATGACCTGCCCCGGAGCAGGGGAGGAGGGCTGGGGAGGGGCTGCAACGGAGATGGGGAGACAGACACCCACCCTCCTCAGTGACGCTGTCCACCACGGAGCCCGCGCTGAAGGCCAGGACGTCCGAGCTGCCGTCGGAGCTACCCCCTAAGCCACTGTCGCTGCTCAGACCTGCGGGGTCCATAGGCAGAGGGGTCCTGAGCATCCCTGACTCCTCCTCAAACCCCAACCATCCTCCAGGATGCCCCCAGGGGCAAGACCAGCCCCCATTAGGGGGCAGGGAGGCCCTGCCCAGGATGGGAGGAAAAGGGGCAGAACCAGTAATGGGTAGACCCCCACTCTTGGGCTGGTCAGCCCCAGCAGGATGGGCGGGCGTGTGCAGGCTGTAGGTGTTCAGCCCTGTTTGTGGCCAGTGCATGCTAGGAGGCCACTGCCCAGTGGGGAGTCTTGGCCAAGCCCTGCAGGCGGCCCCAGGCAGCACTACTGAGCGCTCAGTCCAGCTCAACCGAGGGCAGCTCTGCAAGAGCCCCAGGCTCAGGGATGGTGAGACAGCGCCCTCTGCTGCCCGGTCACCCCCTCAGCCCTGCCGGGTCTTGGCTGAGGTCCACGTCTCTGCCCACAATGCCCAGGAAGGCTCGGGACCTGCTCCAGGCCAGGAGGTGCTGACCAGCTGTTAGCAGGCAGCTCCCAGGGAAAGCTATGTGCAGGAACTGCCCCCCAACTCCAAGAGAAAGAGGTGTACATCATGTCACGCGTTCCCAGGCCCCCAGCACACACGTGCACACACACCCACAGCATACACCTGTTTGTACACTCTGACACAGGTACTCCTGTGTGCACACACCCAGGCACACACACCGCTCAAGGGTCGTGGCCCCAGCCCCCAAGGCCCTGCCCCAGCCGTAGCCCTGCTTGACCCTGTGCTCCCCACCCCCGACCAGCCTCCCATGACACCACCTCGGAGCCCTGTCCTCCCTGCAAACACCTGTCCTGCCAGCCCCCCAGCAAGTGTGCATGGCGGCCACCCTCCTGGTGAGCCACACCTGGCCCTGCCCTGCTGCCCTGGCTGGGCAGAGGGCTGGGCAGCGGGGCTGGGGTGTGCGCAGCACTCACTGCGTGGACCGGCCGCAGCAGCCCCTGCATCGAAGTAGGAGAACAGTGAGTCCAGCTCATCAGGGCCGAAGAGGGAGTCCCGGCGGAACCTGCGCTCCACAGCACCTGCGGGGGGGGGGGGGGGTGTCACTGTGCACGGTGAGCCTGTCCCCTGCCTGCCAGCCCTGACGCCGCAGCGTCTGAGCCCACGGAGCCCTCTCCCCGCCCCGTCCAGGGGAGTGGGAAGCCCTCCCACCTGAGGACAGAGCAGCTACGGAGGGCAGGACAGGCTCCATCCGGACCTTGCGGCGGGCAGTGGGGGCCCGGGGAGAGCTGTGGTGGCCCAGGCACTTCAGGGCCCGCCAGCGCCTTGGGGCCTCCCGGGACGACCTGGAGGGCAGCTTCCGCAGGAACTTCTTTTCCACGTACTTGTCCTTGATCCAGGCCTCCTTGTCCTGCCTGGAACAAGGTGGACATGAGGCCGCACTCAGGGCTGGGGTTCACCACGCCGTCCGTGCTGTGCCCACCTCACCTGGGGCTGTTGGCCGTGGGCTTCCGGCTGCCCGGCCCCTCGCACTGGGCCTCGTAGATCTGGTTCACAGTGCTGTTTCCCAGCTCACACATCAGCTGCAGGAGATGGGGTGTGCGGGCCTCAGCCCCAGCTCACAGACACCCCTCTTCTGCAGAACCAGCCCCTTCCACACACCCCCGCCAGCGGCTGCTGCCTACACTGGCCCCCACACACCTTCAGCAGCTCAGGCTCCCAGGAGTCCAGCGTCAGGGACCGCACCTTGGAGCAGTGGACACCCAGGCTCCTGGACAGCGGGAGGCAGGGGTGAGCGGGCTGCTCAGCCTGGCGCCCCCCCACACCCCGCCCGCCGTGGGCCCACCTGTGGATGCCTGAGCACTCGATGCACAGCAGCACGCCCAGGTTGATGCTGGCCCAGCGGGGGTCCGGCTGGCCACAGTCGCCACACTGGCCGTTGCCCGCCACACCCTGCACGCGCTGAAGCACGCTCTCGCCCTTGGCGCCGCGCTCCCTCGAGTCCGTGGCAGAGTCGATGCTGCTTGTGGACGGGGATGCCGTGCGGTCCAGCCTCTGGGGACGGCGAGGGGCCACTCAGCCCTTCAGGAGCACCAGCCTCACCTTCCCCAGCAGGCCCCCTCCTCCTCCCGGCCGGAGGTGCCAGCGCAGGCTAGGACCCCGAAGCAAAGCCGGTGCACACAGGCACACTCACACCCACAGGGCACCCACGCGGGCACGCAGCCCGCAGGGGCCGGGCGGAGCCGGCGGCCCACCTCGCTGTAGCAGCTGTCTGGGCTCTCTCGGTAGGCGGACGCGATGCTGGCTTGCACAGCTTGGACCCAGGCTTGCCGGAGCTTCTCCGAGTCAGCCTGCAGCATGCAGCTCCTGGGGGGAGGGGACATCAGGCCGGGCAGGCGGGGGCCCCGCCCTGACCCCACCGGCTGGGCTTCCTCACTTGGCCGGTGACACGACCTCAAAGCAGAACCTCCGCTCGGTGTCCTCACAGGGCTTCACGGAACACAGGCGGAGGTCGTCCACCACCACGGTCAGCGCGTCCTGCAGGCAGCACACGGTGGCCTCACCTCAGCACCCAGCCCTGACCACCCACGCGCTGCTCTGCCTCACTGACCGCCCGAGACCCAAGTGCTCTCTGTCCCCTGACCACTCAGACCACCATGCGCGTCCCTGTCCTCTGCCCACCCCGGGGCCCAGGTGGGCAGGGGCTCTGCACACACCTTCAGCTTCTTCTGGTAGACCAGCTGGCTGTTCTGGATGGAGAACCAGCGCCTGGGCAGGTGGACGGGCCAGGAGGGGTCAGGCAGGGCCGGCCGCAGGTCCACCCCGCTGCCTGCCCCCCGAGAAGGCCTGCTCTCACCGGTTCCATGTCTTGAAGGCGTTGCTGGCCCTCTTGAAGAGGTAGCCCTCCATCACCACGCCGCTGGGCGCGTCCACATCAAACTCCGCTTTGGGCTCATCGTAGGAGAAGTCCTGGGGGAGCCGGAGCCGGGCCCCCAGTGAGTGCCCACCCCGGACCTGAGCAAGGCTTCTGCCCAAACGCCCCTGGGGGCAGCTGCCTCACACACCGCTCCCCCCAGCCTGGCAGAAACAGCTCTGGGATCAGGAAGGAAGCTGCCTCCCCCATCCCGAGCCCCATTCATGCCGCCAGCTGGGGGGAGGGGACATCCCTGCTCCCTGCCTGACAGAGCTCCATTCACCAGGCTGGGGACAGAGTGCTGTCCTGTGTGCTTAGCAGCGGGAGAGGAGGCCCGCCACCTGCCCCCTGGCTGAGCGGGGACAGAAGGGACAGCTGCGGCCACTCCCAGGGGATGCACCCCGCTCAGCTGGAGTCCTCACTGGTGCCAGCCACCGCTTACGGGGAAGTGTCCTTGGTGCTGAAGTGCCTCGGCGTGAGGGAGGGCAGCCGTCCCCCCTCTGGCCCTCCCCTAACTCCCTCCCCCTAGGGTGGACGCCTACTCACCTGCAGCAGTGTCTGGGGCAGAGCAGAAGGGGAGGGGGGAGGAGATAGAGAACACCAGTGAACGGCAGCCCCACCCCAGCCCCCCACTGTCCAGGCTCGCAGCGATTCTGGAACAGTGGCTCCACCTGCAGCCACCCCCACCCTGGGCAATGTGGGGGCAACTGTCCAGCAGGTGACCAAAGTAGGAGGCTCCAGAGACTACCACTGGCCTTGAAGGAAGGCCTCAGCATCTCTGCACTGAGGGGCTGGCCATCTGCCCACCCCCGCCCCGGCCCCTAAGGATGGGGACCCCGCAGCGTGGGCAGGCCTGGGGTAAGGGATGGAGCATGTGTATGTGCCATGGGCCTCCCAGGTCAGCAGTGTGGAGGGGGTGGAGGTGGTGGCCTCCCCGTGCAGGAGGTCGGGGCTCACCCGCTGCTGGATGGCCGCATGTCTGTGTTCCATCTCCCGCTTCTCCACTGCTGAGTCGATCACCAGCTGGTCCAGCTGTGGGAAGGGGTGTCAGGGAAGAAGGGACCCACACCCCTGAGACCCTGGCCTGGGTCCCCCCCTCCCTGCTGGCTCACCTCAGCCGCCAGCTTCTTCATGTAGGGGTCCAGCTGGTGCAGCAGGCTGTAGCCCTGCTGGAAGAAGCTGTACTGGGCATGCATGAAGGACAGCATCTGCAGAGGGGAGGCGCCGGTGAGGCCACCCACACCCGGCACCCCTGTGCACACCCCCACCTGCCCCGTGCAGGGCACTCACAGAATCCAAGATCTCAAACTTCTTCTTGGCCTGGAGGACATTGATCTGGCAGGGGAGGAGTGAAGAGGGTAAGGGTGTTGGGGTCGAGGTAGCCCATGACCTGCACCTTGCCACAGAGTCCCCTTGAGCTGCTTGTGGTCCCCTGAGGCCCCCAGCTCACCTTCATGGCCCTGCACTTGGACCAACCCCATCCTCCCATGGCCGGGAGTCCTTTCCACATCAGCAAGTTGGGTCCCTCCCACAGGCGAGGTCAGGAATGATCACCCTGCTCCAAGGTCCTCCAAGCCCTCCCTCAGCAAGGTCTCCCAGGCCTCCACCCTGCAGCCTGCAGCCCCTGGCCTATCCCAGCCCATCCCCACCTCTGGACTCTGACTGCCCCCCTCTGACCTCCCAAGATCTGACACGGGTTTTCCCCAGGCAGGGGTGCCTCTCCGACATCAGCTCTGTCTGCAGGAGCCCAGGACGCCTCCCCACCTCCAGGCTCCGACCCTCCTGCCAGCTGCTGACCTGCAGCACGTAGTCTAGTGCCAGGTGACGGAAGCACTTTCGGGTGAGGGTCAGGGCGCCTGTGGCCTCCTCCACCTCGTGGGGCCGGTGCCTCGGGGCCTGGGCATTCCTCACCAGGGACAGCTCCAGGTCTTCTCGCACTTTGTCAAACTGCTTCTTGGTCTCCTTGAACTTTCGCACGTCCCTGGGGCAGCAGGGTCGGGTCAGAGGCTCCCGGGAGGGGCAACGTGGGGTCTCCCCCTTCATGAAACTGCCCTCCTGATGCTCTAGCCACACAGCCTCCGGCCAGGGCCTCCCTGCCCACCTGCACTGCACCCCTCTCTCCTCCTCCCACCACACTGGGCACCCCTCTCTTCTCTTCCCTGCCCCCTTCCCTGATCTGGGGCCCACCCTGGCCCTTCACCACCTCACTCCCAGGGTTGGTCCAGCCTGGGGTGACCCCCATCTTCAACCCAGATTCCAGACTCATGCACCCAACTTCAACATGGCATCACTCAAGGGTCCCATAGGCACCCCAAATGCACACAGAGGTGCTGAGCTCAGATCCCCCCAAGACCTCACCTCCTCCCACCACCACCTGACTCCCTCCATGGACCTCACCCCTCGCCTGAGGCCTTCATCCTGCCCTCCAGCCCTGCCCCCGTTCTAAGCCTTCACCCTTGCTGACCACCCCCACCCAGAGCCTGAGGCCTAGGGGTGAGGCCCCGCCCGAGCAGGCCCCAGGACCCCCCAGATCGAACGCAGCAGGTCTGCTCCCCACTCCAGCACAGACATCCCCACTGACCCCTCCCAGGCTGGGAATGACCTCCCTTAGGGGCTGGGGCCTCGGGCCACTCACTCCTTGATGAAGTTGTGGAGCTGTTGCCGCACGGACCTCTGGGCCTGGTCAAATAGGATCTGGGGACCAAGGGACAGTGCAGGTGTGAGTGGTCTGTCCCTACATGACCCTAGGGTCCAGGCCCCTGTTCTGGGGAAGCCCCATCCACCCAGCCCAGTCTGGGCCCCAGCTGGTCACCCCCACAGAGACAGCCTCACAGGGTCCAGGGGAGAGGATGGGGCCCCAGGCCTGGGCTGGTGCCCAGAGGCGACAGCTGTGACCACCTGCCCATCTCCCCTCCTGGCTCTACACCAGACTAGGAGCCAAAGCTGTCCCAGTCGGGCCCCTCCTATGGCCCCAGCACACTGGCCGGACAGGGCAGGCACACCCAGGGCACCTGGCGACACCCGCCACCTCAAGGGAAACCATCCTGCAGCGGGAGGGGTGGGGTCAGAGCCAGAGCTCCCGAGGGGCCTGGCCTGGGAGCTAGAGAGCTCCCCACAGCATGCAGGGGACCCGGAATCAGATCCACCCATGTGGGGGGCCTGATTTGGAAGCAGACAGACAGGGCAGGACGAGCTGTTCTGAGCTGGTTTATTTCTGAACTTCCCCTTCGGGGGGTGGGGCCCCTTGTTTAGTCTGGGGCTCTGGTTCCCAGGCCACTGTCCAACCACCCACGTGTGCCTCAGGCCCTGCTGTGTCCATGCTCTGTGTCCCCAAGGGCTCGAGGTCACCCAGCCCCAGCCCGGGCAGCAGTGAGGTCAGAGTCATCTAGCGACTGGAGTCATCCAGAGGCCATGGGGTCAGCCTGGGAGATGCTTCTGCTGCATGGCTGGAGACTCCTGCCTGGTTGGGGAGCCCTGGATAAAACTCCAAGGCATCTCCCGCAAGACCCCACTGCCCTCGGTCCTGGGCTGTGCCGCCGCCTCCCCCGCCCACCCCACTATCTGACCCTCACCCAGGACACAGCAGAGAACCGTGACAGCCCCCACCCCACAGCCTGCAGACATGGAAACACGGCTGCTCCCTCAGCCGGCCCGCCAGCCAGCTCAGCTCCCTCAGAGCTGCCCTTGGACGGGCCCTCACACACCGCCCCACCCTGGCAGGCTTACCATGTGGTAATTGACCATCTCCTGCAGGCTGTCTCCAAACCTCTGCAGACATTCCTGGGGGGCAGGGTAGGGAGGCCCCTCACTCAGCTGGGACAGCTATGGCCCCTGAGTGGCCAGCACCTTCCCGGCGACAGGCCACAGAACCACCCGCAGCCCCGCACAGATGCCCACCTGCTCCCAGGGCCTGAGCCCTGCCTGCCCAAGCCTGCCCCTGTCAGAGGTCGGCCGCCCCTCACCGAGATGACGGTGTCACCCTGGCACTGCTGAGACAGGTCTCGGACGCCGCTCACAAAGAGCCTGTTGGTTGTGACGTAGGCCTTGCCGGCCTCGATCATGCCGCTGCACAGCTTGACCAGCTGCGGACAGGTCGGAGGAGGGACACTCAGGCCACCTGCCTCTGCCAGCCGTCAAGAGGCTGGGGCAGCAGAACGCAGCTCAGGGCCCAGCGGTGCCCAGAACACAGCTGCCCTGAGCGGCCCCAGGCAGGGGAGGGACCACTGCCCGCCCTCCCTCCCTCCCGAGCCCACTGGGTGCTAGACAGCCTGGTGCCACCTGGGCCTTGGATCCAGAGCAGGAGGTTGGAGCAGAAAACCCAGGGCTGGGGTGAGCATGTGGTCCTGGCCCGGGGGGCTCAGGGTGCTACCCTCCTTCCTCCCCCAGCCCCCCTCTGGCCCCCTAACCTGGTCACTCAAAGGCACAGCCTCCCAGCAGCTGTCTCTGGCCCTGGGGACACACTGGAGGAAACTCACCAGCAGGACCCCCTCGCCTGATGGGAGACCCGGGCGGACACACAGGTGCCGCGTGTGCAACGGGACAGGTGAGGCAGACAGCAGGGTAGCCCCACCACCACGTCTGTGCACAGAGCATGGCTACACACCCCACGCACAGCACATGTCGCTCACACGCGCGTGCACAGACTGGTGGCTGGGGGGGGCAGCCTTGGACCCCTGTGCTCCCCAGTCCCTCACCTTGTCCAGTTTGGCCTCGATCTCGACCACATCTGTCTCCACCTCGTCAATAGTTGCCCTGCAAGGGGAACAGGTCGGCCAGGGGTCAGCCTGCAGCCAGATGCCCTCACCACGTGTCAGCTGGGTCTTCACCTCCCCATGCGCCTTCCCAAGGGTGCTGTTGGGCCCGTGGTGCTTGCTGCTGTCGGCTGACCCTTGGCCCCTTGGCCGCAGACAGGCCAGGAAATGGAAGCAGGGAGAGGCTGCCACCAGGAGAAGGCAGGAGGGCCCAGGTCCAGCTGACCTTGAGCTGCCCAGCACCCACCCCACCCCCAAGCAGAAAGAGGCCCAAGTGCACGGGCCGCCCCATCTGGGGTCAGGCTGCTGTGGCCCCAGACAGAGGCCAGACATGTCTGAGGACAGAAGAAAGGGCTGACACCCCAGCGCAGGTGCACGCTCAGGGTGGCACAAGGCCGGCCAGCTATCCCCTGCCCAGCCCCAGGGCCCGGAGTTGACCCCAGACCCCGACTAGACCCCCCACCCCGCTTGGTGGCCCCTGCAGCAAACTTGTCTCAGCCAGAGCCCAGAGCAAGGGTGCTCAATCCCCCTGGTTCCCTAGGCCCCATGAGATCTCAGACTCCCCCAGCCTCAAAACACAGACTGGCACCGTCTGCAAGGAGAGAGGGGTGGGTCAGGCTTCCGAGAAGCCCACGCCTTCGCCTGACAGCACAACCTCGGGGAGGGGAGAGTTAACACATGACATCACCAGAGAAGCCACGGACAGGAGAATCCCCGGAAGGCAGAGGCAGATGGATCAGGCACGTGACCCCCCCCCCCCCCATGCTCCGGGAACAGGAAATAGGAAAATCAGGCCAGTATCCACTGCCCCCTACCCCCTCAGCTGGTGAGCTGGGCCCATCTGGCCTCCTAGGATCTAGGGACAAGCAGAATGGGGCTCAGGCCAGGGGCGGGAGGCAGGCCTCCTGGGACAGGCCTTGGGCGGGGTCAGGCAGAGGGGAGAGGCGGGCAGGGGGAGGGGCGTGTTCCAGGATTTCCCAAGGCCTAGAGGGTAGGACCTGGTCCCTCTTGGGGGAGTGTAGCTCAGAATGACCTCCATTAGGAGCTGGGGGGGTGGTCCCAGGGACCTTGTAGGGTCCCCACTAGCCACCTGACAGTACCTTCCTTCAGGAGGCTCCCCGGACTCCATTCTGGAGCAGAGAGGAGTCAGAGAGGTTGTCCACTTGTACCGGAGGTGGCCCGGCCCCGCAGGGTGCCCCGAAGCCCACCCAGGACTGCCCTTCCAAACTGCCTGGAGGTGTGGCCTGAGGTGTGTGTGGCTGACTGCAGACGGCTGAGACCCCAGGGACCCTGACTCTGCTGTGGCCTCTCCGTCTCCCTCGCAGGGTCCCAAGGCAGGGAGGATGCTGCAGAGGGAGACGCGGCCCTGGAGCCTCAGTTCCCCCAGGTGCCTGGGCAGCTGCAGGGAGAGCTGCCACCCGTGGGCCTGGGCGCCTGGTCCCGGGGCGCAGCAGGGGTGGGGCTGCATCAGGAGCCAGTGTGCCAGCTCTCCCTCCCCAGCCCCTGAGGACCAGAGGCCTCCTCCCCTGCCCTCCCGCCAGGATTTCAGCAGCTTGGAGGACAGAGGAGGGAGAGGCTGGTTCCCCCACCAAAGCCATGACTCAGGGCCTGAAGCCCCACCCAAGGGAGGGGGCACCAAGAACCAGGGGTGGGTGGAGGCCCCAGGCCTGTCTGGGAAGAGTCTGGACCCCCTCAGCCACATGCACGGGGGCTGCAGGGCTCTCCCCAAGCCAAGAGCACACAGGCAGGTTCCCCCTTGGTAGGGCTGGGGTCACATGGCCTCACATCACAGACCACATCCTCCTGGCCTGCCCCACCCTGACCCGCCTGGCCCAGGCCAACCTCTCGGAAGCCCAGGTTACAGCCTCAGCTGCACTGGAAGCTGAGCAGACAGAGAGACCTCAGGATGGCCTCACGCACCCATTAAATCGCAGCCCAACCTGAAACCCAGAGCGAGGCTTCCACGGCCCAGAGTCCCAGTGAATCCACTGAGCCCCTCCCCCAGGCCCGGCTGGGCACTTTCTAGGGGCAGCCCCTCCCTGCCAGAGCAGCACAGCAGAGCCACCGTACCAACCTGGCGTGCCACAGGCAGAACAGGCTGGTTTGGGAGGGAAGGCCTGGAGGTGAATAGGGTGCTGGGGCCCCAGAACTGACCAGGCAAGGTGGACCTGGACCCTTCCAGGAAAGGGGAGGAAGAGCGTGAGGCTCTTTGAAGGGGCCAGAGCAAGGGCTGCATGACCAAGCCCCCAGCGGAGGCCCTGGCTGCACCTCCCTCCACAGGCTGGGTCCTGGAGGACAGGGGGCAGAGGTGGGGACCCAGGATCATGAGTGCCTGAGTTGCTCACACCCCCTCTCTCAATCAGTAACAGGATGGGCCAACAGAGAGGGTTGTCCCCCACCCCTCTGCTCAGGGCCTGGGGCCACCCTCTGGGCCCACCAGACCCTTCGTCCCCAGCCTCCCTTGTTCGGCGGTTGTGCAAGAGGCTGGCTCGAGGGGGCTGAGCCCCATTGGTGCACACACACACAGGCCCTCATGTTGGCACACCCCAGAGACCCAGCACACACACCACACATGACCATGTGCACAGAGGCACAGTAAGTATACTCCTGTGCCACCCCATGTGCGTGCATGCAGCAGCACAGTGCACACACAGTCACGTGGACAGAGACCTGTGTCCCAGTGCTAAGATACATATGAACACACTAATGTGTGTTTAGTGCCAACACTCCCACCAGCATGATGAACAGTCTGTGTCCACACCAACAAGTGACACATGACAAGCGTGCACGCACCCATTACTAGTCTACACACATGTATCAAACGTGGCAGCACAGGGGTGCAGCTCACCCACACATTCACATTCAGGGTCCGGCACCTCAGGGCAGGGTGCCGACGGACCTATCTCCCACATGTGCACCTTGCACACGGAGATGCGGGGTGAAGGCAGGCGTACACACATGGTGACCGTGTGGTGCACACGGGTGAGCGTGCCCGCGCTCCGAGAAAGCCCTAAACCCACAAACCCAGGGCAGGCCACAGCCCAGACCCTCCAAGCCAGTCTGCTCAGCCCAGCCCCCACCCCCCAGACCCCGAGGTCACCGCTGTCAAGCGGCCAGCCCCAGGCCCGACACGTGGCTCCAGCTGACGGTCTCCCCGCACTGCTGGGGCGCACGGCCCACGACAGGGCGCAGGGACAGCCGCCCCACGCCCCAGGCAGCCCTGGCCAGGGCAGGACCGCAGGGCCGGGGAGGGTCTCAGCCTGTGCAGGTGGCCAGCACGAAGGTGCAGACACAAAGCGGGGTGGGCACTCCCACGGAGAGGTGGCCGGCGGCGCAGCCCCGCCCCCACGCGCGCGCCCTCCGCGCGCGAGGTGACCCGCACCAGGGGCATCTTTTGTTCCGTGTCCTCGTCCCGGGGCGCTGCGGGCTTTGTCTGAGGCGGGGTCCCCCGGCTCCCGTCACCGGCTTCCGCGCCGGGCACAAAGGGGGCACGACGCCCCGGCCCCACGCCCATCCCCCGGCAGCCCCGGTGCCCCGAGGGGGCGGCGACCGCGGCGACCACAAAGGGCGCGCCTCGAGGGCGCACCTGAATCGCGGCGAGTCCTTGATGCACTCCTCGAACTCCACCGTCATGGCTGCGGCGCGCGGGCTCACTGGCGCGAGGACCGCGGCGCCCCGAGCGGCATCCTCGGCCCGGCCTGCTGTCCGCCCGCCCGCGCCGGCTCGGCGCCCGCCCGCCCCGGAATGAGGCCGCCGCGCCGCCGCCCCGCCCCGCCTGTCACCGCCGGGGAGCGTCGCCAAAGTCCGCAGCGCGCGGGCGCCGCCCGCTGTCACCGCCGGGGAGCGTCGCCAAAGTGCGCCGCCCGCTGTCACCGCCGGGGAGCGTCGCCAAACGCCCCTCCCTGCGGCCGCGGGCACGCCCGGCTCCGGCCCGGACGCCCCGACGTGCTGCCCCTCTTCGTTCCCGGGCCACTCCGGGTCGGAAAGGAAGGCGGACTCAGCAACAGGGGGGCCAGGGGGGCGTCGGAGCCGTCGGCTGGGACGCGGGACGCGGGGTGCGGGGAGGGCACGGACCCCGCCCTCTCCAGAGACTCGGCCGTTGCGCAACCAGGGGCGTTTGCAAAACCCGCTAGGCCGGAACGCGGCGGAAGGACACGCTCCGCGAGAATGCGCAGCTAGCGCGTGGGCGGTGGGGGGCGAATGAGTGCACGCACGAGTGGGGTGCGGGTCGGAGTGCGGCTGAGGGCGTCTCCCGGGAGCCGCTGCCGGGTCTGGCCCACGCGCTCCCGAGCGAGCTGCACGTTGCACCCGCTCCCTAAGCCTGACCCCGCCCCCGTCCCCCCACCCAGGGCGGCCGTGGGGCCAACGCACAGCGCAGGCGCGGGAGCGACCGGAGCCTGGCTGGACTGCGCGCGCGCAGCGCCCACGTGCGCCCCCGCTCTCCTGGGCGCCCCTGGGTCCGGTCCGGCCCAGCCATGGGCTCGGGCGCAGTGCGGGCGCGCTACCTCGTGTACTTCCAGTACTTGGGCACCGACTTTAAGTACGTTCCCCGACTTCCCCCGGGAAGCGCCGGAGCTAGTCCCTGAGGGCGGCGGGGGCCGGGCGGGAGCTGTGCTGAGCGCTGCACGCCCGGCCCGGGCCGGCACCGGGGAGGAGTGGCCGTGCTGGCCGCGGGGGTGGGCCCCGGCCGGCCTCTGCCCGCTGACCCGCGCCCCCTCTGCCCACAGCGGGGTCGCGGCCGTCAGGGGCGCCCAGCGCGCGGTCGGGGTCCAGAACTACCTGGAGGTGAGCTCCGCCGGCTCGCGGCCTGGGACGGGGAGGGGCGCCCCGGGAGGGGCAGGGGGGAGCCCGCATGGTCTCCGCCCTGTCCCCGCAGGAGGCCGCCGCGAAGCTGAAGTCGGTCGTGCCGGTCAAGTTCGTCATCTCCAGCCGCACGGACGCGGGGGTCCACGCCCTGAGCAATGCGGCGCACCTGGACGTCCAGCGCCACTCAGGCCAGCCGCCCTTCCCCCCCGAGGTCCTGACAGAGGCCCTGAACAGCCACCTGAGGCACCCCGACATCCGGTGAGCCCCCTCTGCTCACTGTGGATAGAGGAGAGGTCCCAGGAGTTGTGTGTCTGGACAAAACATTGTGGGAGTTACAGGGGCCACACCCAGGGGACACGTGTGGCGATGCAGGGGTCATTTCTCTGGTGTGTCTAATCTTACCCCCACAGGGTCCTGCAGGCCTTCCGTGTGCCCAGTGACTTCCATGCCCGATACTCTGCCACGTCCAGGACCTACCTGTACCGCCTGGCTACGGGCTGCACCCGGCCTGACCAGCTGTCTGTGTTTGAACGAGACCGATGCTGGGCACTGCGGGCAGAGTGAGTGTGGGCAGGTGTGACAGTGAGTGCGGGTGGGGTGTTGCCGGGCCCACCTGGCTACCACTTCCTCCTGACCACTCAACCTGGCTCCCTGCAGCCGTTTGGAAGTGGCTGCCATGCAGGAGGCTGCCCAACACCTTCTAGGGACACATGATTTCAGCGCTTTCCAGTCGGCCGGCAGCCCGTCCACCAGCTCCGTGCGCACGCTGCGCCGAGCCTCAGTATCTTCTGCTGCAGCCGGCCCCTGGGTCCTCCCTCAGGAGTGCAGGTGAGGAGAGGCAGCCTGCACGCTGGTCTGGAGCTTGTGGGGCTGGACTTGGTAAGGGCAGTGCGGAGGCAGGATGTCCGGGACACCTGTTGGGGGCATGCTGGGCAGTTGGATGGTGCCCATGAACCTTCAGCTGTGCCCTCCCCCAGGCTGGGAAACAGAGGAGAGAATGCTGCCTTTATCTGAGGGCTCCCAGCCCTGCCCAGAGATGGATGGGTCTTGGCAGCTGCTGAAAAGGCCCTGCTGGGGAAGCACCAGGCCAGTGGTTCCGGCCCAGCCTGACGGTTGGTTCCACTGCCCCCAGTGCTGCCCCGGGGGCCTTCAGCCACACAGCAGCTGCTGACTTCTAGAACTGCCCTGGTTTGGGCCAGCACTGGGGGGAGGAGGGACTTCTGCAGCCAGCCTTAGACTCTCCAGAGCCCCAGCCCAAGGCTTGGGTCTCTAGCAGATGAGCTGCCCTTGAGCCAGTCCAGGGCCATCCCCACAGCAGGGCCCCAGAGGACTCCGCTACACCTCCCACAAGGAAAGTTGTGTAGTTTTAAATCTCCTCCCTGCCCTAGCCGGTTTAGCTCAGCGGTTAGAGTGTCGGCCCGTAGACACAGAGTCCCGGGTTCAGTTCCCACTAAGGGCACATACCTCGGTTGCAGCTTGTCCCCGGCCCTGGTTGGGGTCGTGTGGGTGGCAACAAGTCGAGGTGTCCCTTTCACATCGGTGTTTTTGTCTCTTTCTCCCTCTCTCCCTCCTGCTCTATCTGAAGATAAATGCAAAATAAATGTCCTCGAGTGAGGATAAAAAAAAGAGGAAATAAATCTCCCTACTGGTTTCCCTTAGAGGTGGGGGTGTCAGTGGAGGCCCCTGGGGTGGAGAGGGTGGATGCGTCTTTCTGGGGCCCCTGCCCAGCCCATTTCCCTTGTCTGAGGCCAGACTGGGCTGGGCTGCCCCATGGCCTGGACATCATAGGTGCCTGTGTCCCCAGAAGGTTGCGGTTCTGGAGCCTGGAGTTTGAGAGCCAGTCCTTCCTGTACAGACAGGTGGGCTCTGTTCTGGAGCCTGCGGGGGGGAAAGGGGGTACAGGGGGCAGCTCGGGCCATGGTGCTAGTCTCAGCCTTTGGCTGCAGGTTCGGAGGATGACAGCGATCCTGGTGGCCGTGGGGCTGGGGGCTTTGACGCCTACTCAGGTGAAGATGATTCTTGAGAGCCGGGACCCTCTGGGCAGGCACCAGACACGTGTAGCCCCAGCCCATGGCTTATTCCTGAAGTCGGTGCTGTATGGGGGCCTTGGGGACTTTGGTAAGAGGTGGCCTGGGAAGGTCCCTACTTGTCCCCCACTGACTGACCCCCACTCCAGGCTGGGTCCCTGCTGGAGGAGGAGCCCTTGGTGGCAGTGTGGTCACAGCCCTCACTTGTCATTCTAGCAGCTGGGAGTCCAGCCTGTGCCCAGCAGGAAAGGCAGGACCAGGGACTAGGGGAGCCCCCAGGTCAGCCAGAAGACTTCAGAGACTAGTGGCCCAAAAGCAGGCAGCCTAGAGTAAGGTGTCTGTGTCCCTCAGGCCCAGAGCCGCCTCAACCCACACACCACAAGTTCCCATTGGGGGAGGGAGGCTGAGGGGGGGCTCCCAGCCTTTGCAGAGAACCCCCTACCCCCACCTGACCTCAGATCTGTCTACAGGCCTTGCCTCTGGTGATCCCAAAGCTTTGGCCTCACGTGGGCTGCGGGGTCCGCTGCACTGAAGTCAGACGACCACCCGTGCTGTCAAGCACTTGCTGCCTGGTTCCCCAAGTCCCCACTCCCTGGGTGCCGGCTGCTCCGGGCAGGCTGCCCTGGGGTACACACAGGAGACAGGTGTGAGCACCAAGACGGGAGCACAAGCAGCCCTCAGTTCTACTTTTACTGGAAATTAATATCCCAGACCCTAAAGTAAAAATAAAACATGAAGAGTTCTCTAGGATTGTTTATTTCTTCCACTAAAAACGGCCACTTGGGCAGATGTGGCACTGGTGGTGTCCCCAATGTGAGGACTGGCCAGCTGCACACTACATGTCCACAGAGGGAAGGCCAGGTCCCTCTGGCTGGGCAAAGGAAGGGCAGGGCAGCCTGCTAGCGGTCAGCTGCCTCCGCTGGGGGCCGGGGGCAGACCCTTCTTGAGCAAGGCCGTGAGGTAGCTCCCCAGCTCTTCATCCTGCAATGGAACAGCAGAGGTGGTTGCCCCATCTTCCCAACCACCCCACCCAGCTGGCCCAAGGCAATGGGGTGACCCACCTGTCCCACCCACTGCCAGGTGCAGGCCCTCCTGGGTCCCCTACATGTACCTGGTAGGTCCAGGAGACCAACAACACTTTGGTGCCCGGGTCCTCTGAATGGGCGGCAGCCTGGATGAGGATGGACTCCACGGTCACAGAGCCATCGGGGAGGTGCTGCACGCAGTGGTCCTTGAGGAGGCTGCAGGGAGACCTGGTGAGACCCCCACCCCAACTGCACCCAGCCCAGGGCCCGTGGGTCAGGCTGCTACCCACCTCTTCAGGTGGCTGTAGACGCGCATGGCCGTCTCCTGCTCCTTGCGGGCATCGTGCAGGTGCACACGGCAGGTGAAGCGCAGCTGGTGCTCAGCCAGGCCCAGCTCCTTGAGGGCCTGCTCTGAGGACACCAGCCGGAAGCTCTGCGGGCAGGGCAAGTTGGGTCAGGGGCGTTGGGGGCCCTCGCCTGCCCAGAACTGGGCCTGCCTGTGCACTCACACTGTCCTTCATGATCAGGGGGCCCTCGCCTGCCCAGCACTGGGCCTGTCCTGCACGCACACTGTCCTTCGTGATCGGGGGCCCTCGCCTGCCCAGCACCGGGCCTGCCTGTGCACGCACACTGTCCTTCATGATCAGGGAGCCCTCGCCCGCCCAGCACTGGGCCTGTCCTGCACGCACACTGTCCTTCATGATCAGGGAGCCCTCGCCCGCCCAGCACTGGGCCTGTCCTGCACGCACACTGTCCTTCGTGATCAGGGAGCCCTCGCCCGCCCAGCACTGGGCCTGTCCTGCACTCACACTGTCCTTCATGATCAGGGAGCCCTCGCCCGCCCAGCACTGGGCCTGCCTGTGCACTCACACTGTCCTTCATGATCAGGGTGCCGTGAAGAAGCCGGGGTCTTTTGGCATCAGGGAGCAGCCCTATAGAAAAGGAGAGCGATCTGAGCGGTCAGTGGGGCCCGCCTGTCCTGCCCAGCTCCACCCAGCCCGGCGTGCCTGCCCCACGTACCCTGTGCCATTTCCCGCTTCAGCAGCCCCAGGGAGATGCCCACGGGGATGCTGGGGCTTGTGGGTAGCATCACTGTCTCACCATTGGCTGGCATGTAGCAACTGACCCCTGGCCAAGGAGCAGGGAGAGCGTCAGTAGGGTGGACCCTGTCTGCAGCCCCTGCACGGGCCAAGCACGGGCTGAGCCCACCCCACCCCACCCCACCCTGCCCAGGCTGCCTACGGAACTCCTGCTCAATCTTCTGCTTCAGGAACTCCATCTTCTTGGCCTCCCCATGCACCAGCAGCACGCTCTCAGGCTCCGCCTGGCCCACCAGCTGCATGATGCCCTTGGCATCCGCGTGGGCGCTGAAGGACATGTACTCCACCTGCATCCGGATCTCCAGCTGCAGCAGCAGAGCACAGGAGTTATCACTGTCCACCAAGAGGGGCCTGAGGGGCTGGGAGAGGGTGGCGCTCACCACTTGCCGCCCCTCCATCTCCAGCTTGCGCTGCCCACTGAGGATCTTGTGGCCCACAGTCCCCTGCACACAGTAGCCGGGCATGATGACCTGTGGGGCGAAAAAGGACAGAGCCGGTGACCACCTACATGGCCGCCTACCTCCTGCCTCAGGATTTCCCCTCGAGACACCCCCCCCCACCTTTCTGCTCCCCTGAACCCTGGGCAGAGGCCTCTTCCCTTGCTGGCTCCCCCTGCCGGCCCTGCTGCAGATGCAGACAGGCTCAGGCCTGCCCACCGTGCCCCCTGCTCAGGAGGGGGTGCTGACTGGTCCAGACAGGCAGAGACACTGACAATTAGCTGCCTGGGCTGTCCCCAAGCCCAGGGGAACCCCTGCTCCCCACCTCTGCCCAGCCTCACATGCCCTCTCAGGAGCCACTCTGGGACCCAGACCCCTCACCATGTTCTTCTCGTTCCCTGCCCACTTCCGGAAGATCTGCAGGGACTGGCCAGCGTGCAGCATCCCTGGTGTGGCAAACACGACCTGGGGGTGGCCATGGGAGCAGTCAGGGCAGCCCGTGCCATGCCCGCAGCAGGCCCGACCCCTCCCCCACCATCAGAGCCTTCTGCTGCAGCCACCACAGCCCCTCCCACCCTGGACATCCGTCTTTCTCCAACCAGGTGTGCCCGCTCCCCTGGGAGACTGCAGGAAGGGACCCCAGGCAGGCCCTGGACAAGCAGGAGAACGCACACGTGGTCAGCTGGTACCAGCCTGTGCCCCAGCCCCAGCCTGTGGCGTATCTCGGATGCAGCACAGATGGCCATGCCCACCCTCCAGGCTGGGCCTCACCATCGGACCCGGGTTGTCGGCAAAAGCCCTGTCGAAGGCCTTGATGTGCTTGAACTCAAACATGTTCCTCTGGACGAAGGTCTTGCGGATCTTCTGGTTGGTCCAGGTGATGAACAGCTTGTAGTAGTGGTTGGCCTTCTCTGTCAGGCCCGTGGAGAAGTAGATGGGGGCCTTCAGGTTCATGCGCTCCCTGTGGACAGTGTGAGGCGCTGTGGAGGAGCCGCGAGGGCGGGGCCAGCTGTGCCACTCCTGCGCCAGTGCCCTCAGCCTGCTCCCCTAGAAAGCCTTGGGGCTGATGTGTGTGGAGGTCCAAGTGCAGAAGGGTGCTTGTGCACCCTCACAGGCCTCCGGGCTGGCTCAGGTGACGCCTCCACAGCAGTGGGCACCCTGCTCTGCCGCCCACCAGGCCTAGGTCCCCAGCAGCCGCCCTGGCTGCACCCACCAGGAGGTCCCCAGCAGCCGCCCCGGCTGCACCCACCAGGAGGTCCCCAGCAGCCGCCCCGGCTGCACCCACCAGGAGGACCCCAGCAGCCGCCCCGGCTGCACCCACCAGAAGGTCTCCAGCAGGATGCAGAGCTCCTGAGCACGGCCCAGCGCGAACACAGGGATCAGCACCTGTGGGGTGGGGCAGAGGCTGGCGTGGGTGGGAGCCCCTGGCCACACTGCTCACCAGGTCAAACCCACATGTGAGCACAGGGCTGGGCAGTGGCTCCCTGTGGCCACCTTCTCAGGGAGCAGCTGCTGGCAGCCCCTATGGCCGGAGGCCACACCCAGTGAGAAGTCACGGCTAGGCCCCTGAGAGCGGGAAGCCCACCCCCATTCTGCCCCCGACTTCTGCCTCCAGCCACAATCTATCCAGAAGGGACCCTGGTGGACACTCTGGCCAGCCCCTCGCTGGGACCCGAGACATGAGGGGAACGAGTGCTCCAGGTCAGAGGGAGCTCTCTTGCCCCCAGTGTTCAGCAAGCCTTCGTCCGCCCGTGCCCAGAGCCACGGCCCAGGCCCTGCTGGCTGCCCCTGCCTCGGTCAGCTACCTTCCCGCCACGCTCCACGGCCTCGTGGACCTTCTTTAGGAAGTCTCGCTCCCGACAGCGCTTGGAGTCGCGGATGGTTGTGGCGTACGTGGATTCTGTGATGAGCAGGTTGGGGCGGCATTTGTCGATCCAGGCAGCTCTGAAACAGAGTGGGCGTGGCCCAAGGTGGGCAGTCCACACAGCTGCAAGGTTGGAGCAACACACTGGGCCCGCCCCATTCACAGCCAAGGCTGCCTGACACGCCTGCTGCACAGGCCCAGAGAGCAGAGCGTCACGGGTGGCACTTGAGGGGAGACAGAAGGAACTCTGCCTCGCATGGGACACCTGGGGCACCGAAGCTGCCCAGGCACCCCGCACAGCCTTGACACTGGGGGATGGGGGTGCTTCACAGGGTGAAACCAACACACCAGGGACTCACCCCAGGTGCCGGTCCGGGGTCATGTTGTAGTCGCCCTGCAGAGGAACAGCATTCAGGAGGGGCCTCCTCTCCCTGCCCGGGCAGCCCTCCGTCCACTCCCACTGACCGTGTACACCACCGACTCTGAGCCCACTCTGATCTGGAACATGGCTGCCCCCAGCACGTGGCCTGCGTAGTAGGCCTTGATCTGCAGCTCCTCGTCCACCTGGGAGGAAAGGGCTGGTCAGGAGACAGCAGAGGAGCTGGGGGGGAAGCCTGGGGAGGTGGTGGCGCAAGCGGGTGGCGTCACTTTAAGCCTTTCGTCATTTACTGGTTTTCACAGCTGACATCCAGTTTTCAACCAAAGGCCACTCAACACGAGATGACACAACAGGGTCGGAAACGAGAAACAGCAGCCTAGAGTGGGAGACTCGAGGGCCCTGTGGTTTTCAGATGCAGACCTCAGACAGACTGTGATTAATATACCCACAGAGATAAAAAACAAGATTAAGAATGTTGGTTAAAAAAAAAAATTTTTAGAAAGCAGAAATTCTAAAACCAGAAACTGTAAGAAATTAAGAATTCAGTGGAGGCCGGCGAGTGTGGCTCAGTGGACTGAGTGTCAGCCCATGGACTGGGAGGTCCTGGTTCAATATACGGTGAGGACACATGTCCGGGCTGTGGGCTTGACCTCCAATGAGGG